TTATTATTATTATGTGGACAACACTGTTGTTTTTAAAGATAGTTTTGAGAAGATGAATAGTTCTGGCCCAGGTTCCAGTCCATTTAATTTATTCATTCTAGATTTTTTTGCGATTTTTGAGAAAACTAACTTTTATTACAACAAATATTTGTTTTGAATGTGTATACTTTACATTGTCATATATACTGTCATATTGAGTTAGATATGACTTGTGATTCAAGATCCACTCTGATTCAGAAAGTGAGTTGTTAGATAGATAACTCATGAGTTCAAGTTTGATTCATCAGATTTTTTTTTACTGGTTTGTTAAAAAGAGTAATAACTGAATATGCACTGGTTCTCCATTGCCAACCTTAATTTTTTTTTATTGATTAATTTATTGCATATTCGATAATGCGGTCAAGACTTCGTCAGGACCGCATTCTTGCAATGCATGAAGTAGAGCATACACTATTTTAAGATGAAGAGGCTCTCTTTGGTTTTCAACTGCTTTAACTAGTGTGCTCACTCACATAATTAGATGCTGCTTTTTATATAATACATTTCCTCTTACAAATTATTATACCACTTGGTTCATTGGTCCATTGGGGCAGAATGCTTTCTCACCTCAACTGAACTGCCCCAGAGTTTTTTTTCCATCAGGCCGAGACCACCTCATTCAGGTGTGGATCCAAGCGCGATTGTTCATATATGCCTGAACAAAATGAAGGGAAAAAAACGCACCAGGTTCCGAAACAAATGCTTCAAACAAGCCAGGTGTGAAAACGGCCTTAATCTCCCAGGAATATATCTACACCTGTCCATGTCGATACAGTTTATGGGCTTTTAGTTTTTATAGTTTTGATGCACAGGATTAGACAATTATGCTGTTTTTTTAAAAGACCTTAAAACACACCTGCAGTCATGTTTGAATGAAATCACCTCTTGTTCTCTGTCATTCTTTCTCGTTCACATTTTCTTTTGGTGTTAATTTCACACCTGAGGCAAGGCCATTTGTGACCCCAGAACCTGTGCGTCTCTGGAGGGGTGTTGAATTCTCCAGAGATCAGGTCATAATATGACGTTTCCAGCAATATTGAAGTCTTTCTCTGTGAAGTGAGCGACATGCATTGTTATAGTTCCTTCCTGTTGCCTCTGTAGGACATACATCAGAGGAGCCATTCATGACATGTAGGTGACCCAATGCATGGTAATCCAGAGTGGAGACTTTTCTGATTGAAAGCTGACATCTGAGGCTGTTTCATCTCCAAAACATGTTGGTGATCCCAGGGCCTCAAATCAGGAACATGCTAAGCTTGTTAGGGATGTAATCAACCTGGTCCCAATAATCATGTTGAAGTAAAGCTCAGGCTCGCTTGAAGCTGTAATTAATGAGGGATATTATAAACATGCCCCAAAACAAGATCAGATGTTACATTTGGGCCCAGGAAAAAAGAAATCCATTGTTTTCTCAGAATGCTTCTAGACATTTGCCTCCTTCTCTCAGCCTTTTTCAATGGCAGGGTGGTCTGCCCTTAGAAAAAAAGCATGGTTATTTTCAACTTGAATACAATTACAATGGTTTGAAAATATTCAATCTCGTGAATTGAAAACCATTGTTAAATTGGATTATAGCTTATAAATTGTTACAGATTGCTTTACACAGCCCTTCCTCCAGAGCTGGAGTAGGTTAATGAGAAAAATTAATTTTTTGTTTTAGTTATCAGGCATGTTGTGTTTTTGAAGTTTTAGTGGTTTTGAGGGGGGAAACAGTAAAAAAAACAAAAAACAAAAAACAAAGCTGAATTGGTTGCAAATTGTTTTATCTTTTGTTGTTTTATGCTTGCTTATGCTGCGTGAAATTGAGACCATACTCACATGTTCAGAGTGTGGAGAAAATTGTGAAGAGCCTAAGTCTTGTTGCCACACACAACTAGGTGGGAGAGGACTTTGTTTAAAACCTGCTAGTGTAACTTAAGAAAAACATTGGTAATTGCTAACATATGATTCTGACTTAATTTTTCTTTGTTCATGTCCAGGGTTTTTCCTGGGTCAAAAATGACTTTGGTGGTGGCGGATTAACACGGTCATCCACACACACACACACACACATACAGTACAAAGTCACACACACAGTACAAAGTACCCTATACCCATGTGAACTGCGTGCCCAGTACTGACAATAAATCTAAAATAAATTAAATAAATGCAAAGAAACAGTTTGTAATATTAACTTATCCTATTTATTCATTAAAAACGGAAAAAAAAACACTGTCAAGACATCAAATAGTTTTAAGCACTTTGATTTATAATCTATTTAAAATCTGTAAATTTAGGCTATATGTAAAAAGTCACTGAGTGACTGATTTGAAAAGATAATAATATAATCAAATGAATAACAACAAACAATAATAAGTAATAAAATGAACAACAAAATTACACATTACATAGAAGTGGCAGATCTATTATTTTGCCTTTACACTCCAAGACTTCATGCACAGATCATTGGACATACAATATCAGATTGTTTTGTTCCGGCCATTTCTATGGTTATCACTGTCAATCGGATTCAATCACACATTTAAATCCAGAAACTTTGCAATGTGTAGTTAGTACTTAGTAGCATGAAAAAAATATATATTATAGCCTATACAGAAAGCGAGCAAAGATTGTTGCCATGATTATAATGAAGCTGTCAATTATAACAGCAGGTACACAAAGCTGCACTTTTACAAAAACTCCTGTTATAATCGATGAAGCTGCCTACTCTGTGCAATTAATTATTGATATTTTGTTTTTACTTTTTGGGTTATAATGAAAGGAATTACGAGCGTGCAGAACTCACGCTGAACAAAAACTCTGCTGTTTTGAGTGGTGTTGAGCATATTCTGACCAACTTAAATGCATCTGATTGTTATTGCATTCACTCACTCAACAGATTTGTCTGTGATTTGCTACAAAACTCAACGCTAAAAAAACACTTTGTAAATAGAAACCATTGACTCTCTTCACAGAGTGCTTACACAAACACTGAGCGTTTTAAAGCAGGCGGCTATCAGCGGGTACCCGTACGTACCGCAGAACGGAAAGTATTGCCACATTGAATAATTTTCTTGTTAAGACACCCATTTATACTGTGATATTATAAAGAAAACATGTTATGGGATTTTATATTGTCATTGAACTAAAACAAATTAAGTTGCCCGCTTAACTGAGAATAACATTTACTTTGTTTTTTCTCATAAAATTATTTGCAGATTTGTTTTTTCCTTCTGTTAAAAAAACAGTGCTGACAATAGAATTAAATGATCACAAATTTGCATCTTTAATGGTCCGTTGAACTACTCTCATGGTGTGTCAACAGTTTGAGGGGAATCTTGCTGAGCTAGTTAGTTAAATTTAGTTAAAGTGTCAACATCTTTTTTTGTTAGCTACCATATCCGTTATAATCGCACGTACATTTGAAGGGAACAATATTGCTTCTTTTTTGATGCCGCCAATGTAATGCAACAACTCATGCCAAGTGACTTTGCCCGTCTAATACACAAGCAAAGCTAGTCTTCAGAATCTCTCCTCTGGCAGAATAGGTCAGTTAAATATGGTTGAATTTACCTTCAATACTTCAAAGTAAAATAGTTGACCATAAATTAACCCTCCTCCCTGCATCTACATCTCAGAAGAGCTTCAGAATCACGCAACCTGCCATCCGAAACACATCACACCAGTATATGATTTGCTTGATTACGTTACAAGGAATTGACAGATTGCCTGACTGTACCAGACTGTATTATTACCTGGTTCAGAGTAACTGTGAAGTCCTTGTGAACCGTGTTGCCTGCTTCTCTAGGGTGCTTGATCCTGGAAATGGAGAAGTCTTCTATTTTCGGAGGTCAGGTAGAGAGCGCGTGAAGAATCGACAGCTTTGAGAGACGGACTTGGACGGTGTTCAGCAAGACTCTTTGAAAGGCTGCTTTTGTAGCTGTGAGGGTTTTCTGTTCCTTTTGGAGCTTAGGTGTGCCACACAACGACTCCACTGCCCCAATGCAATAAAGAAGCCAAGGCGCTTACACACACGTGTGCGCATGCAAACGCACTTGCGCACACACTCATAATTCATAAGCCTGGATTTGAAGGCTGTGAAGAAGACTGCAGGTGTTAAAGGGTGTACTGAAAGGCATTTCGAAGTCAAGTTAACAGGACAGATGGGAGCCTGTACATGTGTTAGCTTTTCCTTTCATCGAGGCTGGAAGATATGATTGATTACAGTGAGACTGTGCTTGACCCTGTGTGACGGAAGTGAAAGTTATGATTGTTTGTCACTGAGTGACTTTTTATCATGCTTCTCTGTTTCTTGTAGGTTCCTCAACTGCTTGTTGATGGTAATAAGTTTATAAACAAGTAAATAAATGAATAAATTTAAGTCGTCAGCTTGGTGAATTGAGTGTGATGAGCTAAAAAGATTGCACTGCGAAATAATGCAGAGAAAACACGTCTTTTTATTTAGTTGTCTTCACTGACTCAGTGTTTTTAATGAATTTAATCGCATTGATTAATGTTTTGCTTAATTAACTAAATATGTCTGAATTAGCATCTGACTCACCCACTCAACTCCACATCATTACATTGTCATCTTTTACCTAAAATACATTTAAATTTGAATAAAAATCTTATATTTAACTCTATTTTATTGTGAATATTGAAATGAATTATAAATAAGTAAAACTTATTTATAATTGTAATTGTTGTTTCGTAATTAAAACAAATAATTAAAAAAAATACCAATTTACAAAAAAAATTATGTAGTTAGGACCAATTGTGGGGGTTTGATCATTTGGTGGTGGACAAAAATAACAACATCAGTAAAAACGCAGCATACTTATACTTTTTTATTATTTTCTGACATTGATCTGTTGAATTCAAAGCAACATTTCATGCTCCTAGACTTATAAATAAAAGTACTAAATTGTTGTAGAGCCTCATTTGAGTCTTCTTTTCCATCACTTTTCTTTTCCATTTCCTAGTGGGTGGCAGGGTGAATCAGGAACTCAAGTACACGCGGCAGAAGATCGGAGAGGAGGCCATGTTTAGTCCTCAGCTCATGATACAGACGCCACGACAGGAAGGTACTAACATTCTGACCGTAGAGGCGCTGAAGCAGCACCTCGACTCCGCCATAAAGGCCAGCAGAGTGCACGTTTACATGTACAACAGGTAATGGCACAACAGCCTCTGTAGAGTTATTTTTTTTATTGGGTAGTTGACGCACAATATGTCAATGGACTTTTTTTTTTTTTTATGTGTATAACATAAACGATCACTATTTCGTTCAAATTTTCTTTTTTTTTCAATCATAGTAGTGCACAAAATGACAGTATATCTAATTTCCACCGTTGCGTTTTCAGGCAATGGAAATTGGAACATTTATGCTACAAATCAGGAGAACTTTATACAGAAAACAATCTTGTGGACCAGGTAAGGAAGAATGCTCATCTTTTTAAAATGACATTTTAGTAGAAATATTTGAACTTCAGAGGAGGACCCAAAGGCTTGTGAAAGTAATAATAGCACATCTACCTTTTCAGATTATAGAGAAACTGCACCCATGTCTGATCATCACTCCTCTAGACTGCTTCTGGGAAGGTGCTAAGCTACATTCAGGAACAGTCTACCTCCCGTAAGTTACACACACCTTTCTGTATTTCATTGGAGCTTTTAATTGACTGTCTGACTCTTGAAATCAAGTTGATTTGCCCAAAAGGCCATTTTCATACAGTGAACACTTCGCTGACATGTCCTTCCTATGAATAGAGCCATGTTGAAAACTAATAAACAAGCAAACTAAATTTAAAGGAAAAAGTTTTCCAATCCAATCAAGAGTGGTGGTTAAAAGTGGATTTTACCATGTTTATTTGATAAATTACCTCTCTAGGGGTAATTTATTTATAAATCAAACCTAAACAGGACGTTTAATGAGAGTAGAGTCATTTGCACTCTTTGTAAGGTGAAATTGAATAATCATTGAAGCTCAACAAGTCTGATATCATCTTCGAGTTAAATGCTATAATTTATAGAAATGTTAATGCAAACACCAGCGGAAAACTAATGTACAGAGCATGGAAGCTTCAAAAACTATTTGCATTATGCTTGTGAGATTAAGTCCATGAAGTACAGTACAGATTTTTTTTATTACTGAATCAAGTTCTGTGATTTTGATCCAGTTTGAGAATTAGATAATCTATATTTTTGCATGAATCAGACGAGTACATAGGGATGTTGCATAAAGAATATATTTTTAAAAACATTACAGTAATCACTATATTTTAATGGAATGACAGCCCTAAGTGGTGCTTTACAGTCTCCAGTGGGGTTTTCTGAAGGCCTTCATTGTAATGTTGAACCGCTCGAGGCCTCACACTTCTGCTGCTAATGCCTCCTTGCAACAGTTACACTCAGTGGACAACCACCAAGTCTGCAAAAGTTTTTCTGCCCTCCTCCCCCCTCCCTCTTTCCCTCCATCATGGATGTAAATAAGGATTTTACTGTGTTCTGGTTGGGGGACTTGGAATAATGACTCAAGCCTGGTTAGGCACATACAATGTGGTCTGAACCACCGCAGGCCTGCCAGAAGAGAAAGACAGAGGGGCGAGCAGAAGAAAACACATACAGAAAAAAGGAAAGAATAAAAGCAAGAGGGAGAAATGAGAGAAAGATGGTGCAGGGACAGAAAGGCGGAGCTGGTTTGACAGAGGGAGGCTTAGAGAATCAGTCAACGGAGCGGTGGAAATGGATGGGTGATGGAAAGTGGGAGGGTGAACTCGGTCCGAGGAAGGCCGTCTGAGGATAGAGTCAAACATACGGGCGGGACGGGAGACCGGGTGAAGACACAGCAAGAGAAAGAGGGTCTTGAAAAAAAACAACTGAGACGAGATGGCAAGCAAAGTATGGGAGGTTTGCGAAACTGCTGCGTTGGGCTGTTAGTTGTGGGGAGATGCCAGGCCCTGAGCGGGATCACCCGGCACGGCAGTATAATTAGAGGGGATAAAGATCAGATGAGCGGATTGATTCCATTTTCTCAAAGCTGTTATTATGGAGGCAGGCTGAAATCCAATCCCAACTACATTTGTGCTGCCACCGCTGTGACGTGCAGCATCCATCAATTCCTAAGCCTTCGGAATTCCATCCAGTCACCCTTCCTCCGCTCCCCGTAGTTATGCCGTACCACTTTAAGCACGTCCAACATCCCATAAGCAGGGATCCATGGTTAAACATGCACTGTTTATTTTTTAACAAATTATTTAACAAGAACTCGTTCGTTAAACTGATCAAAAGTGAGAGTTAAGATGTTTATAATGTTACAAAAGATATCTATTTCAGATAAATGCTGTTCTTTTGAACTTTGTTCATCAAAGAATCCTGAAAAAAATATATATCATAGTTTCTACAAAATTATTAAGCAGCACAACTGTTTTCAACAGTGATAATAATAATAATAAATGTTTCTTGAGCACTGTGAGGGACCAAGCAGTTAAGCAAGAGGAATCACAAGGGAAGTTCAAAAGTAAGGGTTTTTATTTCCCAAAAATCATTACAACAAAATAAAATACATTTTTGGGCCTATAAAAGAGGTCAAATAAACAGACGGTAACTAAAACTCTGAACATAAGAGACTCAAGAAAATACAACTGACCTCCAACAAAAGAAACAAAGGGGACTTATATATTGGCTGATCAAACCAATTTTGACACACAAGGGAAAACTAACAACAACATTACAAACAAATAGTTATATAAACAGAATGAAAATTCAAAAGTAACTAATGGTGCGCGCTCCCAAAAAGATACTTCTGTATGGTCAACTAAATAAAGTATAATGTATGTGAAATTAACTAAGTGTCCTGTGAGTTATTTGTAACTAAATAAATATTTGCAACAAATGTATAATGGGTATGAGAAAAAGTATATAAACTAATCCTAAAGAAAAACAGCATAAACTCCCGAAAAATATAAGTGCATGAGGTTACCACTCTTGAACTGGTTGTGAGGCCATGGCTGTGGCCATTACAAGCACCAAATCAGCGTATTAGAATGATTTCTGGAGGATCAAGTGACACTAAATGCTGGAGTAAAAATGCTGAAAATTTGGCTTTGCCATTACAGGAATAAATGACATTTTAAAATATATTAAAATAGAAGAGTGTTATTTTAAATTTTAAAAATATTTCACACTATTACAGTTTTTTAAAGTTTACTGTTTCCCCCCCCCCCATCAAATACATGCAACCTTGGTAAACGCAAATCTTACTGCAATGAGTGCCGCATTATATTATATATATATATATATATATTTCAAAAATCTTTTGAAACGTACAAGATCAATGCTATTTTTCAAACAATGGGCTAATCTTAAGAAATTTGGGAGTGGAAAAGGCATGTCAAGGGTACTCTGTGTTTATGTTAGCAACTTTCTATGGCAGTTAATGTGCCTATAGCCCTGCCTTCTATTCAATTCCGTTGTACTTCATCTAACACACTTTAAGGCTGTAATGTGTGAGTGCCATAATGTGAATGCCACCTTAGGTCCACATCAATAAAATGGTTTCTTTTTTTTCACACAGTGGCAAATCCCCAGTGCAGTGGACCAACTTTGATCCGATAGGATTCATTGCTGAGCTGAAGATGCTAAACAATCCGGTGGACATCTGGGAGGAGATGCTGGTCAAAGCAGGGGTGGGCCATGGCTACATGGATCGCCCCTGCCTGAATCCCGCGGACCCTGACTGCCCATTGTCAGCTCCCAACAAGAACATGACACGGGTTGGTTCAGCATACAAAGGATGGCATAGAGCAATAGCTAAAAATCATTGTTGGATATCTGTTTTCCCAGTCATAGGCTACAGCTAAAGATACATTAAAGCAAAGTTGTTTTGCATCTTGAGTGTGTCTGATTTATGATCTGTCATCATCTTAAGCCTTTTGACGTGGCTCATGTTCTGACTGGTGGCTGCTATGGGCTTTCCAAAAAGTACATGCACTGGCAGGAGGAGCTTATCGTAGGTGGGACCAAGAAGAACGACAGCGGCAAACTTCTAAGGTAAGAGACCAATTTGGGATTTAAACACTGATGGCATTCAGAGAAATAAATGTATCTTAATGTATTTTAATTGTAAAGGGGATAAACAATCGTGAAAACCATAGAGGGTGTGCAAAAGGTAATAAAGGAAGCGTGTAAAGTGTGTCTTTAAATATGTTAGCAGTGCAATTTGAGGCCATTTTGGGCCTTACATAGCAGTGGAAAAAATATCAATTTGTCTTTCCCTCTCTCTTACACACTCACATGTACAGTATGAGGTTTGTTTTTTGTTTCTTGGCAGACTGTAATCATTAGTAAACTGCATATTAGTATTCATTCCCACAGACTGAGGAAGCCCACACCTTTTACTCTAAGAGTGAAATGGTTTTTTTTTTTCTTCCCCCAGACCTCTTTAGGCCTTGAGTGGGGACAGAATTCACCATCCATATTATGAAAGAACATTGTTGCAAATCCCAAAAATGTTAATTCGCTGCAGTGGTGGTAGCGGAAAAATATTCTCAAGTGGCTCTGGAACCGTCCACTACAATTTCTAGGAATCTTTTCACTCCCTCGTGGCTTTCTGAAAAGAGAAAGTCAAGGGTTTTTTCATTCAAGAAGTGTTCATTGAACAATACCAGGTTGACAGTCCACTTGAGGGAGTCTGTACTCTACAGTTGGAGAAGTCTGAGCTCGTCTGTGGAGCAAAGTGACAGACCGCTGTATTTCAGCATGTTAGTGCTTCTTTTCATGGTTTTTTATCCCCAAGAAATGACAGACAATGTCAAGACTTTCACTGTCAAGCTATTTTTAAGCAGCAACCATTATCACTTCATCCCCCCCAAGAAATTGAGCTTTAACAGCATGCTAAACAATAACCAATAAAAAGCCACACCTATCGAGCGATTTGTTTGGAAATTGGGCCACACGTTGCACTGAGAACAACGCACTACAAAGTTGTGTGATGACCGTTTAATTTCACCACAACATTTTGTATATAAAACACTTGGTCAGTTTATACTATACATTCAGCTCAACATTTTGTTCTCTTTTCACTCTTCCTCAAAGTGCACAGGCTCTTCAGACCATGTTCCAACTCATGACCCCAAAGCAGATGTACGAGCACTTGAAGGACTACGATGAAGTCTCACACATCAACTGGAATGAGGACAAAGCAGCTGCTGTTCTAGAGGCCTGGCAAAGGAGATACTCTGAGGTACATGCACGTCTCTCACCATGAATCATCTCGCGGAAAGGATGTAAAGATGCTCTGTTGATGTCCAGACTTCAGTCTACTTTAGTGGAGACATTTAATTCAATTCAATTCAAATTTATTTGTCTAGCGCTTTTCACAATACATATTGTTTCAAAGCAGCTTTACAGAAAGTGCATTTCAGAAATGTACATAGAAAAATACAGTTAGTTAATCATGTATTAATTTAGGGCATAACATATCGCCGGCGTCGAGTCGTCTCTTCACAGGCGTTTAGTCATCTCATCGCAGGTGTTGGGGCATCTAAAGTCTCTGTGAGAGCGAAACACAACACATTTACAGTGACTTTTTCTGCTGTAGTGTTTTTAGTAATTCATCCTTTCATCGGGCTTTACTTTGCCTAAAACTGGATCTTGTTATGAACCGTTTAGGGGGCCCGTGGCGATTTATTCCTTCAGTCCAACTTTGTGTTTCCTGGAAAATACACTCACATACATGTACTCATGCAGTGTGAAGGCATTCATCTTTAGTCATAAGTAATGCATACATTCCAAAGGTGCTGTGTCTCTTGAGGTTAGGACCCAGCTGTTTAAGTGCAGTCCTTCAAAGGCATAGACTTCCCTTTTTTTTTCCTTTTTCATACTTTAAACGCTCAGGTTAAGTGTGAACTTGGAAAAACGGGGCACATCTGTAAGGTCAGGAAAGGTCACGATGGGACACTGTAGAAATGTGCAAACTAAACCCTTCACATGTATTTGATGCCTAATGTTGTGACATTGAAAACATCTTCTATAGGTATTTCGGTCCTGTCTGTTTTAGAAATCAACACTTTACATTAAGGTTAAATTTGTTAATATTAGTTGATGCATTAGGTGTCATGAACTAACAATGAACAACCTTTTTTCAGCATTTATTAATAATGCACATAAATGTATTATGAACAAATGAACAATGGTATATTTATAAAAGCACATTTTACTGAAAATATTAATATGGTTCAATTTGTTAACAATAATGCGTTAGATGTCGAACTAGCAATGGACAACATTTTTACAGCATTTATTAAAACTGCATAGTGTCAATGTTTACATTTACATATAACATTTCAAAATGTATAAATGAATGTACTATTAACAAACATGAATTAACAAATTAACAATAGTATATACAGTATAACAAACTGTATGTGGGCTCTCGACGCACTGATCGCACATTGAATTTATGCACAGATACATTTCAGTACATTCACGTTGTTTCCACAAAATAATTTTTTGGGCATCTCCATGTGGTCCTGTGAAAAATCGCAGCTTGACATGTCTAAAATGAAAACAATCTCTAAAAAGCTCTTTGCTGTTGCACTGTACACATACTGTACACTGTATTCGGAAAAGTTGTGTTCTGTAATCCTTATATCATTTGGTTATTAGGTGTCCTTTTGAAGTCTTTTTTTTGGAAAGACCCAAATACAGTTTTGTAAGAAGCATTCTTTAATCTGATAGTTTACTTATATAGCTGGATATAGCAAATGATGACAAAATAAACACGTTAAACAAGATAAACGATGTATGCTTAATTCCACGGTAAGTATGCGATTAATCGTGATTAATCGCACCCTTTTGTGTGATTAATTGCATACTTGTCTAAAAAAATGAATATATTATAAACTAGGGCTGTCAATATTATTTTTTTACAATGCTTAATTTTTTTACGATAACTAGTCGTTAACAACTTGTAATTGTTAACTTGTTACTTGTCCAACATGTTATATATAAAATTAACATTATGCAACATTAAATGCTGTCAAATTATTGTTCATTGTTAAGTCATCTAATGCATTAACTAATGTTTACAAATCATTTTAGCATGCTTTTATATGGTGCTTGCTTAATATGGAATGACTGCATTACAACACAGCTAGTTTTTGCTAGTGTTGGGTGTCCATTGCAGAATCCCCCTCTTGGTATGGTGGCCCCAGCACTTGTGTGTGTGTGTGTGTTTTAGCATGTGTGTGGTATCTGTGTGTGTGTGTGTGTGTTTGACAGGACCGTCTGGAACGCATTAACCCGCTCAGCACACAATCTCTTTCACAGCTGCCGTCCCATTGGTGGTTTGTGTGTGACATCATCTGGTCTCTGTTTTGTCAGCCCTGACCTTCGCTTGGCATAGGGTTTCCTTTTAGTGCGTGTTTGTGCAAGGCTGAACATGTGTGTGTTTGTGGATGTGAGTGCGTGTGGTTTTAGGGGGTGGGGCTGTGATTTTCATTTCTTGGATAATTGTGCTGTTGAAACATTTGTGGGACTGTGATTTCCACTTTATTTAATTAGCTTCATTCGCCAGAGGGAAAATACAAAACAAGGAAAAAATGAGCTGTGAGAAAATTATAGAAAGGGTGTAAATTAATTGAAGAGAAACAACATGAAATAATTTAATTTCTTTCGTCCTTCCTTCCGTCCTGTGTGTCCTCAGGCCGTCCAGCAGAGTGTGTCTGTAAATTCGTCTCAGAAAGTTCTCACGTTCACCACCACCACCCTCGAAGACATCCTTAAGTCCTTCTCTGATGTCAGCGTGATCCGTATCGCCAGTGGCTACCTCCTAATGGTAAACTCACTCACACATCTCCAGTTCTGTCTGAAGAGCTTTAGTTTTATCTAGACTTCCTCTCCTTTTATGTTCAGGTGAAAGCACAACCTCATTCACTACATTCTGCGTTACACATTTTAACCTAAGTACTCACCCGAGTCTTTGAATAATCGTGGAATATGCCTCATTTCGATGTTAACATTGTTTTTAGGTAATTTCACACCAAAACTGGAGTAACTAAATAACAAGAAAATACAAAACCTCTTGCTCTGTTCTTTGAGCATCCCACCAAAAGCGTGGTATTTATAGGTCTCTGTCCCTTGTGAAATAAAATGACAAAATAGCATACTTTTAAAAAGAGTGAATTTACAAAAATTAATGTACTGATAAACTAAATTATACTTTACTGTAATTTCTATTGACTTGTATGTAATTTATTAAAAATATATTTGTAATAACACATTTTTAATGAAGTTGAAATTCAGTAAATAAAAAAGATATTAACTTTAAATGTAATTAAATAACACACTGTAGTAACAAAGTTACAAAATTACAATCAAGCACTTTACATGTGCTTTAGTATGATAGTCAACGTGTACATAAGTGTACTTCAAAGCACGACCAAAGATATTAAAACATAATGATTTAAAACAGGGGTGGGGAACGTTGATCCTGGAGGGCCATTGTTCTGCAGAGTTTAGCTCCAACCCTGAAAAAAAAACACTCACCTGCCTGTAACTTTAGCAATCCTGAAGACCTTGATTAGCTTCAGGTGTGTTTAATTAGGGTTGGAGCTAAACTCTGCAGGACAATGGCCCTCCAGGATCAACGTTCCCCACCCCTGATTTAAAATGTAATGTGTTAAGAAACATAGTCATGAAAGTGTACTTTTTAAGATTTGGCCACTTCTTTTTCACAAGGTGGATACAATTAAAATAGTCCAGCTTATAAAAATGCATCTTGAGACCCCTGTAGTCTTTTCCATTATTTTGCAACTCCATCTTGTTGTTTTAATGTAAATGCCCCCAAAGAAATGTGTCCAGTCGTGGTCAGATGAGCCCGAAACAAGCAGAAATTGTTCAGGAATTCTTTAAATAAACCAATTAGTCAACTGGTTGATGCCATTGCCAAACAGTAACTGTCACAGTAACTGTTTGTTAAAATACTTTTACAGTAACTGTTCATATATAATTTTCTGTCCATCTCTCTCCTCTAAAGGTAAAAAAATTTTTGAAAACATTGACCTAGCCTAAGATTTAATTGATCGACTGATCATTTAATAAATATTGAGACACATTTTTTTCATTTTAAAATCTTGTCATGAAAGTTTTTTCATGTTGAAAATTCAGACTTGGTGTGTATAGGCCTAGTGTTATGTTACATGCAGCTTGCCAGTGCATGCCTGACCCTGCTGTGCCGTGACCGCACTCATGAGAACGGCACTGCGGTAACGTGATAATGTCAGATTAACGCTATAGCTGTGTTATCTGTGTGCAGCTTGCCTATGCCTGTCTGACCATGCTGCGGTGGGACTGCGCCAAGTCTCAGGGGGCAGTCGGGCTGGCCGGAGTGTTGCTGGTCACTCTTTCTGTCGCCGCTGGACTGGGACTCTGCTCGCTTTTGGGCATCTCCTTTAACGCCGCTACCACACAGGTACAACTCATGAACATGAGTAATCTAAGGGGCTGTTGATGTTCACACAAAACACATTCATTCCACTGTGCTACTTTTCCATTATTTTTCAATGCAAACACTATCTGTACATGTAGCATGCTATTCTGTTTTCATGTGTGTAAAGGTGTTGCCGTTCCTGGCCCTTGGTGTAGGGGTGGACGATGTCTTTCTTCTGGCTCATGCTTTCAGCGAGACTGGCCAGAACAAAAGGATTCCATTTGAGGTGTGTTATCTCATTCCACACGTCCTGAAAAACAGGGAACACTACTAAACAACTACCGTTTTCTCCTGTGACAGACCCTCAGAAACACACAGTGACTACACATCCAAAGATAGTGTCAAGACAAGACAGTCAGTTCAGAAATGAGGGAGCTAGTATGTTATCAGGAGGAAGGGGGTATATCAGTGCGTACCCTCATGTTATCACTTACATAAAGGAATGTGTGTGTACCTGCCCCGACCTGTGATGTAACTTCAAAAACACTAGCACACTTTGATCTGTCGAGGACCACTGAACAATGTCACAAGACTGATAAAAAAAAATTCTACCATTGTTTTTTTTTTTTTTTTGTATGGTATGGTGCCATGTTCATTCCGTTGTATTCTATAACATACTTTGAAGTAACAAATAAATACCATGGAATAAATATTATGTAATATTTTCGTATTGTATAAATATTTGTATAATATCTATTAAATCTGATATAATGGAATCAATAAATTAAAAAAATTATATAATATCATATTACATTATATTATAAAATGGTATATTATGTCATATGTAAAAAAAAAAAAAAATTGAACCATGTTTATATACAGTACTGTGCAAAAGTCTTAGGCACGTTAGTATTTTCTCCCAAAAAAATGGTTTTAAGTCAGTTATTTATATCTTTTGCAGTTGTGTGTCAGTAGGAGATATCAGTTTACATTTCCAAGCACCTTTGCCATTAATTGTTATAATCCAGTGAGATTTTTGTATGCACAAGGAGTCTAACAGCCGTTATGCTCCACACAGAGATCCGATCTCACCATCATCGAGTCTGTCTGTGATCACATAAAGAAATAGAAAAAACTGAGACAGACTAAATCAAGAAGAACTGCGGCAACGTCTCCAAGATGCTTGAAGAAACCAATATATATATATACAGTGAGGAAAATAAGTATTTGAACACCCTGCTATTTTGCAAGTTCTCCCACTTAGAAATCATGGAGGGGTCTGAAATTGTCGTCGTAGGTGCATGTCCACTGTGAGAGACATAATCTATAAAAAAAAAAATCCAGAAATCACGATATAGGATTTTTTTAACTATTTATTTGTATGATACAGCTGCAAATAAGTATTTGAACACCTGTCTATCAGCTAGAATTCTGACCCTCAAAGACCTGTTAGGCCCTGTTTACACGAAAACGATTCCGGGTGAAAACGTAATAATATTTTATCGGATGTGCCTTTCGTTTACACGGCGACGGCGTTTTTGGGGCTTAAAAACGCAAAAAAGTGAAACCACCCTCCAAAGTGGAAATCTTAAAAACGCTCCACCGTCGCGTTTCCGTCTAAACGGGTAAAAACGCAAATCTGCTCATGGCGGCTCTCGTCGCGTACGCATTTACGTCACAGGCATGCGCCAGTACAGGAAAATAACAACCAACATGTCGGATTATTTCCATACGTCGGACCTTCAAGTTGCCCTAGCAGCTCTGATAAACGTCCAAGAGTCTTTTCAATTTCGCGCTACTAGGGAGAGAAGTAGAAGGAAGGTTGTACGCAGGCGCACGGACTTGTTGTTGTTGTGTGGCAGTGCTTCACATTGCCACCTAGCCGCCTGGAGTGCATACTACAACGCATTTCTAACACTTTTGCGTCTCCATATGCACGCAGATTTCCCCCCCATAACGCTCGTCTAAACGCAGAATAAAAAGTGAAAACGAAACGCCACTTTTGCGTTTTCTCTTCAGATCGTTTCCGTGTAAACATGGCCTAAGTCTGCCTTTAAAATGTCCACCTCCACGCCATTTATTATCCTAAATTAGATGCACCTGTTTGAGGTCGTTAGCTGCATAAAGACACCTGTCCACCCCATACAATCAGTAAGAATCCAACTACTAACATGGCCAAGACCAAAGAGCTGTCCAAAGACACTAGAGACAAAATTGTACACCTCCACAAGGCTGGAAAGGGCTACGGGGAAATTGCCAAGCAGCTTGGTGAAAAAAGGTCCACTGTTGGAGCAATCATTAGAAAATGGAAGACGCTAAACATGACTGTCAATCTCCCTCGGACTGGGGCTCCATGCAAGATCTCACCTCGTGGGGTCTCAATGATCCTAAGAAAGGTGAGAAATCAGCCCAGAACTACACGGGAGGAGCTGGTCAATGACCTGAAAAGAGCTGGGACCACCGTTTCCAAGGTGGTTTTAAATCATGCATGGCACGGAAGGTTCCCCTGCTTAAACCAGCACATGTCAAGTCCCGTCTTAAGTTTGCCAATGACCATTTGGATCAGGGTTCCCGCGGAGTCTTAAAAAGTCTAAAAAAGACTTAAATTCAGAAAGTGAAATTTAAGGCCTCAAAAAGTCTAAAAAACACAAGTTTAGGTCTTAAATTTAATTTACCTAAGTCTTAAAATTCTTACCTCCTTTCATTTTGTTAATTGTGGTCAAGCGTTGTCCGCCGAAAATAAAACGTTGGTTGTTTTGTTTGTTTTCTAGTAGGCTACGTGATGATGATAATCCCATTGCGTGATCACTGCAGGTATAACTCCTGTAATAGGTGGCGTTATGTAACCCGCGCCGCCAATAAAGTGAAGGAAGTTGATTCACTAGCTACCTGCCCGCCGAATTCGTGCAACGTTAAGTCAGGGCTGTCGTCGAGCGCGTAGTTTTCAAAGATCATTGGGAAGTGTGTGTTTAACAAGATTTGGTATAGCGGACTTCATCAAGAGAGATCTAATTAACACCATTAGCGGACCGTATGTCTTGATGTTCGTTGTTTACTCATTAAACTGCAAGAAAGAGATGATAATTTGGTGGATGATTTAAAAATATTCGTTAATCAATAATCATCTGTAAATTGTGCAGTCATTTGAATGTAATCATAACGGTCGCCTGAGGGCGCTCAACGACCACGTCATCCGTAAGCGTGAGTTTCTAACAAAAAAACAACAGTTTACTAAAAAGAATAAATACATTAAATAATTTACCATTGTTAATTTGTGTTTATTTTTGTTTGTTGTTTTTGTATTTAACCCTTTCACACGTAAGTTTAAAATATTCTAACTGATCCCCAGCGTGAGTTTTTCTAGGCGACCGTTATTTAGAACCTGTCACTTTAATGTTTCCATGGTGACGCGTCATTGCTTGTCACGTGACACAGCGCAACCACAACACAGTGCTGAATGAATGATGATCTGCTTTGATGTCATTTTCCCTTTTCTATTCAAAATATTCACAAATGTATTAGCTATAACATGAAACACTGATATTCCGATTGTCAAATATGTGCAAGTGGATGTGTTTTGTTGTTTAAACACCTTCATAACGATCGCGTTAGTTGAGCTGTTTGTGCGATGGGCGGCGCCATGTTAGTTTACAACACGTCAATTCCTCAACTTCTCACGAAATACATGAAAGTGGCCGGAGAACTGGGAGAAGAATAGTGTAAAATGTAAAGCTACTTACACAATGTGTATCTGATATGAATAAAACGTGTCGTCTTATTATAATGGAAAGGATTATTATTGCCGCTTCCATAGACATCAGTCAGTGTGTGTATTTTACAAACTTAAAATATGTTTAAGAATTTCTGGGATCATTCTAATGTTTCAATTTATGTGTCGTGTTGGTCTTAAACTTCACACATAATGGTCTTAAAAGGTCTTAAAAAGGTCTTAAATGTAACAAACTGAAACCTGCAAGAACCCTGTGGATGATCCAGAGGAGTCATGGGAGAAAGTCATGTGGTCAGATGAGACCAAAATAGAACTTTTTGGTCATAATTCCACTCGCCGTGTTTGGAGGAAGAAGAATGATGAGTACCATCCCTACTGTGAAGCATGGGGGGTGGTAGCATCATGCTTTGGGGGTGTTTTTCTGCACATGGGACAAGGCGACTGCACTGTATTAAGGAGAGTATGACCGGGGCCATGTATTGCGAGATTTTGGGGAACAACCTCCTTCCCTCAGTTAGAGCATTGAAGATGGGTCGAGGCTGGGTCTTCCAACATGACAATGACCCGAAGCACACAGCCAGGATAACCAAGGAGTGGCTCTGTAAGAAGCATATCAAGGTTCTGGCGTGGCCTAGCCAGTCTCCAGACCTAAACCCAATAGAGAATCTTTAGAGGGAGCTCAAACTCCGTGTTTCTCAGCGACAGCCCAGAAACCTGACTGATCTAGAGAAGATCTGTGTGGAGGAGTGGGCCAAAATGTGGTGGTGGTGTAATGGTGTGGGGGATGTTTTCTTGGCACACTTTAGGCCCCTTAGTGCCAATTGGGCATCGTTTAAATGCCACGGCCTACCTGAGCATTGTTTCTGACCATGTCCATCCCTTTATGGCCACCATGCACCCATCCTCTGATGGCTACTTCCAGCAGGATAATGCACCATGTCACAAAGCTCGAATCATTTCAAATTGGTTTCTTGAACATGACAATGAGTTCACTGTACTAAAATGGCCCCCACAGTCACCAGATCTCAACCCAATAGAGCATCTTTGAGATGTGGTGGAACGGGAGCTTCCTGCCCTGGATGTGCATCCCACAAATCTCCATCAACTGCAAGATGCTATCCTATCAATATGGGCCAACATTTCGAAAGAATGCTTTCAGCACCTTGTTGAATCAATGCCACGTAGAATTAAGGCAGTTCTGAAGGCGAAAGGGGGTCAAACACAGTATTAGTATGGTGTTCCTAATAATCCTTTAGGTGAGTGTATAGTGACAATACAACACCAGTAAATTTTTGAGGGTTAGCAAAAACGCACCGTTTTGTGTCTGTTCCTTTAAATGCAAATGAGCTGCTGCTCCCAGCACAGAGGGCGGAGCTTCAACAGCTTGCACTCACACAGACATGCACTGAACTTTTCAAAAACTTTTAGCCTTTTATGTTCAAACCAGATTCAGACAATGATGGAGAGACTCAAGGAGAGGTGACAACATGTAAAATGCAACAGGACGTTTCTGAATGGTTAGTTGATGAATTTATGTAGCTTATGTGTAGTTATCTTCTAGTCATTTATTAGCATATTCTGTCTTGATAATCTATAAATGCAGTGTCCCGGGGGCGGAGTTTATGTAAATTCTAGGGTAGGTGATGTCACTAACCCGGGAGGAATGTCGTGTAGTCCCTACCAACCTTTGTTGTAGTTCTTAAAAAGCGATTTATTTAAAATCAAATATCTATGCTTTGAACTTTGAGCATTGTAACTTTGCAGATGTTGTTTATGCTCAAACAGCAACATTACACACTAACTAAAGTTTAAAAAAAGTGAAATCATAATCAACCACCCCTTTAAAAGAACCAGATCATAAGAGTCATTGGTTCTGCAGTACAGTCTTTTTATACTTCATACTTTTACAAATACTTTTGGTCTTTTTAGTTTATCAAAATACCATGGTATTATCATCTGATATCATCACTTTTCCATGGTATTGCCACATTACTTTTTTTGTAAATCTTTAATCAGTTTCTGTATAGTCATTACTAGCACAGAAGTTAAGGATTTGAGTTGTTTGTTTTGCCTGCAAAACTTAATTGGACGATGGCAATCTTATGTGTATGTGATCTGTTTTTTTTTTAGTAAATTTGTGTATGTGCTTTCGTCTATCTATCTGTCAGGGGTATCTTTGTTTAGCTTTTGTGTGCGTGTACGGCATGGTGGTGTATGAGAGGTGATTTAGATTACTCTAATGCAGACGGCTGAGTTCAGGCATGTATTTGCTTGTGTTTATGTGAGATTGCACAGCGTGCAGCGACACTTTTGTGTGGAAAGTAAACAGTTCCCCTGTGGGAGGAGAGAGAGTGCAGAGCCGTCCTGTCTTAAAGCTCTCTGTGTGTGGTCCTGCACGTCCTCAGACACCACAAAAAAAACTTTCCCTCTTTCTTTCCTTCTCCTCATCTCTACCTCTGTGTGTACGGAGATGGGGTTTTGAACTGTTTCTTTTGCGCCTCGTACCCTGAATAGCTTTGAAACGAGGAGAGAGAGCTTATCCTAACAGGACAACGAGCCAATCGTGTTTCTGCACCATGGGCTTCTTTGTTTAAAATGATATTGATGGAAAATATTTCTGTGTGAGTGAGGGATAAGGAGAAGGGAGGGAAATGAATCTGTTTGTGCTTTTTTCCTCTCTCCAAAAAAATCCACATAATAGCGGGGCAAGAAAGGAAAGCTTTTCATCAGAAGTTGAGTTCAAGTTGTCATGGCAGTTTGTTTGATTATCAGCTCTCTTCGATTTAAACTTCAGCACGCTTAAATGCAAGTTACTCCTTAAGTCATAATGTGTCTGTCAGTGATTAAAGGTGATTTTTTTTAATCACTGCTAACGTCTGAATTGTTATTCACGAAAGTAATCGAGGCCCGAGAGTGACAATAAATGTTTTATTTTTAATTGGAGCTTTGTCTTACACTTAGAATATCAAGAACGGCACCTACTCTCGTTTTTGATAATTGTATTTTGATCATTTATGATACATTTCTAGTTAAACTCATTTATTTCTATTCTACTGAAATTCAAACTCAATCAAGCTGAGAGTATAATTGTTCAAAACACCACATTCAGATGAAAAATAAATTCATATTCGAAAAAGTTCACGGTATATTACAGGTTTGAATAAGTTTACACTAAACAAAAAAACTTTTTATATCATATGACAAGATATTACTAAATGCTTTGTCATTAGTTTTGCCTTAAAATAAGCAGTACAGAATAGACTCAGAACATCTAGAGCTGCACACACCCCCATATTTGGGGTATATAACTAATTAAATAAACTGAATAATAAATAAAATAGATTAAAAAAATGATAAATTAATCAATATTTATTGTCATTTCCAGTTACGCTGAATTGTATCTATTGTACTAAATCCAAACTCGATCGATATTAAGAATAAAATCATTCAAAGCACAACAATTCGATGAAAGAATAATAAGTGACTAAGTTTGCAGTATATCACAGTTTTTAATAAATCTACTCTAAACATAAAAAATGTCAACGTTATCACGAGTCAGATGTCAGTCATCTTCCTAGATCAGCCATCTAAACTAAACCGCATCAGACTAGCTGCAAAAACAGTACTAGCCATGGGATTGATGTCAAACTGTGCACACATTAATATAATACTCCCCATGTTTACATGTTATTACATACAGTATTCAGCAACTTGGTAATGACATCGTTACTCATTTCACATGCCAGTCATAACAGAGGTCATTTATGTATAGTAGTCTGAGGTACAGTAGCAAAAACAGCCAGTTTAATTCTCAGAGTCAGAGAGAAGTTGGAAAATGGACATGAAAAGCTAATACACAACACTTTTTGGTGCAAGAAACCTTGACTAACATTAGTGGACTCCAGGGGAAGAATAAAATTCTTGCTGTGGATTTGTTGACAGTGTGATGTTACTTTCTGTCTTTTTTCCTCAGGACCGCACTGGTGAATGTCTGAAGAGGACTGGGGCTAGTGTGGCCTTGACCTCCATCAGTAATGTCACAGCATTTTTCATGGCCGCCCTTATTCCAATCCCAGCACTCCGAGCCTTCTCCTTACAGGTTTGTGTGTGTTTTTTTCCCCATCTTCTTAAACAGGAATGCAGTTCAAATAGCTTGTCTGTATCAATTGTGTGTTTGTTTATATTACCAATGTATGTTTGCCGAAATTTCCCATGTCCATACATGCTCTTTCTTTGTGTATGTGCGTGTGTTCCAAACCTTCATTGACTCCAGATTTCTCCACACGACTTTTATTGATTTCATTCATCAAACCAAGCGTGTGACAGGTTGAGGGAGCTGGCGTGGCCCATAACCCCCCCTATGGCGTGTGATTAGTGGTATGGCCCCCTAAGTGTGCAGATTGTGGGCATGTAACTCAATCTGGGAGTGGGGGTGGGTCTCACGGATTGTTGTTCCACACATCTGCGGTTTATTTATGACCGCAAGGTTGTGGAAGTGACATTGCAAAGAGGCTGAGCAGGAGATCTGCCCACAACCTGTTCCTGACTTAAATCAGGATAAAGAGACTGTCGAATGAAAATTCTGTCATCATTTACTCACCCTCATGTCGTTCCAAACCTATAACTCTTTTTATTTTGTGGGGAAAGAAAATGAGATATTCTGAAGGCTGTGGACTGGAGAATTCAATCTTCAAAAAAGAACTCAAAAGCAACTCTAAGGCCTGTTCACAACAACACAAATGTTCGGCATGACAGTTCAGGACAATGCATAGAAAACATCAGGATGAAGGAAAATGCAATTTCACTGACTTTTTATTTGACAGTCGGTGGCACTTATAGAAAAGCAGAAATACTTCATTGATTCCATACTAATATTCGTGTCAGTCTGAACAGTAGGAATGTGCCCCGAAGCCAAAATACCGTGTTCGGAAAGGAAATGACACTTTCTACCGAGCCGTCAGTCATCTCTCCTTACTATCTTCACGTGAAGATGTATTGTAATGTATAACCGACTACCGCAGCAAGCCTAACCATGTACCTTTAGGGGCTCAGTAGAATGCATTTTTCATTTTCCGTGCCTTTCCGAATTTGGAATTAGGCTTCAGGCACATCCCTACTAAACGGATACATTAACAGCCATTTATCGTGCAAAATTTTCCCACTTAATATTCATCTTGGTGTGAACAGGCCTTTAAAGTGTATTAAAAGTGGTCCCTATGACGAATCATACACAATAAGACCAAAATCCTCTCTAGCTCTCTTTAGCATGTTTGAGTGACAAGTATTGATGTCCAATTCCTGAATGAATAATTTTGAGTCAGATCTTTTCAATGAATCAAATGAACTATTTGAATGATTTGTTCATGATTCACTACTCGTGAATGGAGATTTTTTCAGTCAATAATGACTTTCTCACACAAAGCTATCGTATGGCTTCAGAAGACGTTTGAATATATAACATGAGTCTTATGGACCACTTTTATGGTGCTTTCACATCCTTTTTGATGATTAAAAGGTCCAGTCCCCATTCATTGTGATTGAATGGTTGATTTTCTACTGAAAAAAAGTAAAACCAAAAAGTTTATTTTGAGGTGAAGTATCCTTTTAAATGACCTAGATGAAATCTGAAACTACCTACGTTTGAACCTACTTAATCAGTCTTACTAAATTAAATTGAAAGATTTTCCCCATTGGACGTCTGAAGCCTCATCGCCCTCACATGAAACTCACACTGATTCAGCGCTTGAGCTGCTTAACCTTTGAACTTTAGGTGAAGTAACCTCGCCATCATCCACATAACCTGCACAGCTGCACAGAGACAGACGCAGAGATTTACACACTGATGCCCTGTTCTGTTTAACAAACACACTCACACAAATCTCAGCCTAAACCCTACAGACAGCCTCCCCCATTTTGGGATCCTTTGATCCTAAATCATAAATATACCATTTCTTTATATATCTGCAAGTGTAGACAATGTGAAGTCTCACATTGTGTTTGTGTCTGTTCGATGATTGCATATTTTCAGAATATGATGTGCGGGATGAGACTGCCGACCACACGTGGCTCATGCCTAAACTCACACACACGTACTCATACGGTGCTGTAGATCTAGTATTAGGATGTGTGGATTGATGTCTCACACACATCTGTCAGACACACACGCTGTTTGTTTCACTGTAGCGCACTCCAACTGGCACCTGTTCAACGGTGCCTGAAAACACTCATCTTCAAAACCGCTGTGAACACACACACACACACACACAGACACACACACGTGCATACACTCACTCACTCACTCACTCACTCACTCACTCACTCACTCACTCACTCACTCACTCACTCACTCACTCACTCACTCACTCACTCACTCACGGCTAAGAGATACTGCTTTTGCAAACATGTTATTTCCTGCCGTAACAGTCTCTTTTCAGCTGTAGTGTGTTTACTTGATAGTTTGTTTCCAAATGTGTTTACTTTAAATTTTGTCTAATGTTTTGTTTCAACTTATCCACTTTGGGGAAAATGCCTCAAAATTACAAAAAAATTGTTTGTTTTTTTGTTTTATGCCACATTCTGCCATATGCATCTCAAGCCTATAGATAATCTTGTCCTTATGAACATTTTATACACTTACATACCAATTTGTGGGTTTTCTATTCTGGGAAAATGCTAAAATATTGATGACTCTTCCTGCACTACACAGATTTTTGTCCAATCAAATGCTCAAGAATGAGAATGTCCCTTACTGAAATGTCCCGTACTGTCTTTAAAGTCAACAAACTCAAAATGTACCTAATAGATTAATATATACTACCATTCAAAAGTTTGGGGTCAGTAAGATTTTTTTTTTTTAACGAGAAATTAATACTTTTATTCTGCAAGGATTCATTAAATTGATATAAATTGACCGTAAAGAAATGCATAATCTTACAACAGATTTCTAAATGCTTTGCCTTTGAACTTTCTGTTCATAAAAAATAAATAAACAGAATCACAGTTTCAATAAAAATATTAAGCAACACAACTTCATTGATAATAGTACATGTTTTGAGCATCAAATCAGCATATTGATTTCTGAAGGATCATGTGACTCTAAAGACTGGAGTAATGATTGCTGAAAATTCAGCTTTAATAAGTTACTTCTTGAAATATATTAAAATAGAAAACAGTTGTTGTAAATTGTAATAATATTTCACAATTTTACTGTTTTTTTTTACTGTATTTTTGATCAAATAAATGCAGCCTTTCTGAGTACCTAACCCTAACCCAAGTTTTAACAAATCACTGGTGCACATTATTCCAGAGGAAAAAAGGGTTGTCTTTATTTATTCCCCATTAAAATATAAATTGCCACATTTACTTTAATAACATGTATTTTTGTGTAATAACATTACAGAAGTGATGGGTTGCTGCAATTACCATTTCATGTTGAATTTAAACATAATTTCTCTGTTTTAATTCTTCTGTCTTTGTTTAGCACTGTTCCTTTGGCACCTCCCTCACTTTCTGTCTTTTTATCTATTTCTTTGGCAGCTTAAAAGCAGCCGCACATGTCGAGCCTAACAGATCTCACTCTAGAATCACTCACGCACAGTCTCTCATTTGTTCTCTCTCTGTTCCTTTTTAGGGCTGAAAGATTTTATATTTTGTTTTGTAATGCAGTGACAAGTGTGTCCAAATACTTTTTGGAGTCACTGTATTTTGTATCCATGAGTCTCTCTATCTCCTTGTGTCTTGGCTCTGTCTGGCTGAGCTGCTCTCTGGGTGGTCTGGCAGTCTGACATGGCTCCAACCTCCACCCATAAAAAATACACCTTAACTAGGGCAGGCATGCTTCGATCTGCCCTCTCTCTCTCTCGGTTTCTGACTCTCATTGTCATGTCGCTTTTCTTCATCCACTCTTTTCTCACACTAGTTCTTCTGTAAGCTTCAACCGAATTAATCAGGATTAAATGTTTCAAATCACTCGCTCGTTTCACCACACTGGTAAGGAGCTCTTGGCCTGGTGGAGTCTTTTTAGTAGCCGTGTGATATATCGGCTCTGAAAGAAAGTGGCTGTTTCCCAAGGTCAGAAGAGCCACATCTAGCTGAACAAAGTCTTTTTCCTGGGTTTGGATACAAACCACTTCAGTTGTTAATTCATAGTCATAGTCACTTCATATGGGAGAGTGTGTTGAATGAATTATGAGTTCGATAGCAATGTGATTTACGTTTAGAAATTTAAGTGGGTTTAACTCGAGGATGAGCCCAAATTCAGTTTTGGAATGGCAAGGTTTTTTTTTTTCATCTGTTCTGAAGAGGATAATTGTCTTAAAATTGAATTTGTTGGGATCATTGTGGTTTTGGCATAGACCCTCTGCAGATGTGCGGGTGTTGCTGTATGTGAATATTTTGTGCGAGTGTGAATATGTGCTTAATAGCAACTTCTCTTTTCTCTCAGGCGGCAGTGGTCGTGGTCTTTAATTTCGCTATGGTGCTGCTGATCTTTCCTGCCATCCTCAGCATGGACCTGTACCGCCGAGAGGACCGCCGCTTTGACATTTTCTGCTGCTTTGTCAGGTAGTGAACACATTTATCTGGCTAAAGGAAGACTCATCATAAACTGCTGTTGTTTTCAGAGATAATTATATTTAATACACACTTAGCTTAACTCTACCCTGAACAGAAAAAAAAAAATTTTGGTCTATATAATTCTTATAACCTTAAAGGGTTAGTTCACCCAAAAATGAATATTGTCATCATTTACTCTCATGTTGTTCCAAACCCGTAAGACTTTGGTGCATCTTCGAAACACAATCCCTTTGTTGACAGTCTACTCAACTATCACTCTGATGCTTCAAAAAGTTCATAAAGATATCGTAAATCTAATGCATATGAATTGAGTGGTTTAGTCCAAAATTTCTGAAGACACACAATCACTTTTTATGATGAACAGATTTCATTTAGGTTTTTATTCTCATATAAACATTCATCAACACACACATCAGATATGGTGAATAAATTCAGATAAAATATTCAATGACTTATGACACTGAGTGCAGTATAAAACCGCACAATTAAGCGTCAACCTGTCCTAACATCTATACTTTGTGTGCATATGTGCGTGTTTTGATGTTTATCTCTGTCTGTGGCCCCGGGCCTTTAAATAAGACATGCTGTTGCCTCTTCTGCTTTCTGCAACATTCTTGGTGTCTGATGAGAGAGAGAAAGCGAGTCAGCTATAGGCACATACTTTACCTTCGTAGTCATGCCCCCAAACTCCTGCAGGAAATTAAACCTGATGCCTAAACTTTCACCATGGTTGAAACGCTTGCTTTCCAGTCACCAGCACTCACTCGCCTCTCGCCTTTAACTGCTCTCGACTGGAAAGCTGATTGCGGTCGTGTTTACATGCATTTGCATGAGCGCTCAAGAGTAATGAGTTGCCACATCTGAAGGACTTTCACAAGCTCACTCGCTAACTCTCCATTCATATAGAGAATCATGAAGAAGATACAAGCTCTTTTACAAAACCTTGTTAACTTTCTTCGTTTGCCTTCTAAGCCAGCATACTAACTGTCATGAATCTTTATAAGTAACTGATTTGGAGCATGCTAGATAGGCAGCGACTCGCCACAAATGGCTCTCCACACAGGACACTCAACTTTCAATTGAATTCAGCAGTTTGATGTTAGCTAACAGCATTATATTCTAATAATAATAGAAAGAGAGCGTACGCAAATGTTGGGTAAAATAATCACATTTTTTATGTATTCATTGATGCTTATCTGTATTGAATGACTGTGTAAGACTGGAAAAACTGGAAGAACTGGTTGAGGAACGACCACTCCTCGAGTGGACAAAGGACCTTGCTGAAAATTAACATTTGAACTCCCCCCGTGCACTGTTGAGACGAAGGTCTCACCTCCCTCATCCTAATCTACATTTCCACCATCCTGGTAGTATTAGAATGAGTGTGTCCCAAATGTTGAAATGAGTATCCCAAAGGTACCCGAATTGAGTAGCGTAAATTAAACAAACTGAAATATGCAGTATGTTTAAGAGGATGTTAACTGTGATAAAATGAAAGGCCAGTTTATGGTGACAGGATGCACAAAACTATGCAATAGTCCGGCCCATTAAAGACGCAATTATGATGTAATAGTAGTATGTCCCACAACTTACCTAATCTTCTGCTACACACTCAAAATGATCTACCTTTTCTTCACAAAAAGAGTAATTTTTTTAGTGCATAGTAAAAGTAGGCAAATTGGGATAGCACAACTGAGCTCCTAGCAGGCATTATGGGATTGGATTCTTCATTAAGGATAAGAATGATGCTGACTTACAATTTGGACCAATCGAGGTATCTTTGAAGGAAGAATGATTAAGATCCCTACCTTTTTGAACTTCCTTTGTGGTGAATCTTAGTCTATACATGCCAACTTTATCCAGCTCTTCTGTATCATTTCCTGTGTTGTTTTGATATAAATTGATATTGCAGGAAATTCCACACAGAATCGACCGTTACATGGTGCCTTTGTGTTACTGAAATGCTCTGTCATTCTCTCTCTCTCTCTCTCTCTCTCTCTCCTTTAGCCCTTGTGCTAACCGGGTGATCCATTTGGAGCCGCAGGCAGCGTACGCCGACTCCTCCGCTGACTCGAGCCGCTACAGCACTCCGCCCTCCTACAGCAGCCACAGCTTCGCCCAGCACACCCAAATCACCATGCAGTCCACCGTACAGCTGCGCACAGAGTACGACCCCAGAACACAGGCCTACTACACCACGGCAGAGCCACATTCTCACATCTCCGTCCAACCCTTTGCCCCCAATGCCAATCCCAACTCCAACCGCAACAACAATAACAACAACAACAACCACAACAACAGCAGCGCAGGGCCAGCAGCGGCCTCTGATACAGCATCCTGCCAAAGCCCTGATGGTGCTAGCTCCACACGAGACTTGCTATCTCAGTTTGGGGAGTCGAGTTTACGCTGTCTGGAACCTCCGTGTTCTCGATGGACGTTTGCATCATTCGCTGAGAATCATTACGCACCGTTTTTGCTGCAGCCTACAACAAAGGTGAGGGTCAAATGCTTTTTTTCCCCACTGTACACATCATCTGATTAGAAGTGGGATTAGAAATGCCAGCAATGAGCTAATCTCCTGGAGTTAAGTTTTTGTGAGTGTTATTTTGTGAGTCAGGGCCTTCTGAAAACCACAAACACCTCAAACAGGGCAGAAATTCGTCATAAGACACTAAAACAGCAGTAGCTTCAGATATAGCCAAACTCTGACTCATATCTCTCTTTTTGTGTGTTTCCTATCAGGTGGTGGTAATTTTGCTCTTCTTGGCATTGCTCGGGGTCAGTCTTTACGGCACCACCTGCGTCCGGGACGGTTTAGAGCTGACTGACATTGTGCCTAGGGAGACGGGCGAATACGACTTCATCCGTGCCCAATTCCGCTACTTTTCCTTCTACAACATGTATGTGGTGACCCAGAGAGCGGACTACGCACAGATCCAGCCTCAGCTCTATGAGCTGCACCAACGATTCGGCACTGTGAAGTACGTCCTGCGGGAGGAGAACAGCCAGCTCCCACGCATGTGGCTGCATTACTTCAGAGACTGGCTGCAAGGTAATACACTCAGATGTGTAATCGATCAGTCTTGTGTTAGAGATCATTGGTAAAGGCCAAACCTTTAACTAAACTGCAAAAAGTCTGGTCATATTGCACATTGCAGCTCATTCTGACTGGAAGAGATCATCTGACTGATAAGCAAAATGACCAACATAAGCATTTTCTTGTTTTTTGGGTTGTTTTTTTTTCTTTTCTTCTTTCCTTGTTTTCAGCATACTCCTCAATACATTTTGTAAGATGTACACTGCCATTCAAAAGTTTGGGCTCATTAATAAAAATGTTTTGAAAAAGAATTTAATACTCCTATTCAGCAAGTACATTGACATTAAAATGATCAAAAGAGACCGTAAAGACATTTATAATAGATTTCTATTTAAATAAATGCTTTTGAACTTTCTATTCATCAAAGAATCCTGAAATATTGAACGGTTTGAACTGTTTTCAACATTGATGATAAAATAGAAATGAGCATCTAAACAACATTAAAATGATTTCTGGCCAAAAAAACTAAAAATGTAGATTTGCCATCACAGGAATAAAATAAATAAAAATGGAAAACACTTCTTTTAATAATATTTCATAATAGTGCAGCCTTGGTGAGCAAATGAGACTTCTTTCAGATACATACAAAATCTTACCGACCCCAAACTTTTGAATGGTGGAGTATTTTTAAAAAGGGGGGAAATCTCCAACATTTCATTTGCCTACAAACAATTTTATTTTCTCTAAAAAACATTTGAGTTTCAAAAACTGCTTCATTTTTATAGACTGTCTTGGTTTACAGACAGCACCTCGCTTCGTTGGAGACGAGTTTTACCTCAATTTTACCATCATCAGATCATCTGTTTCTCACAAACATCAATCACGCTGTTAAACCTCCAAATCTGTAACACATTTAATTTCTTAAGACGGATTATGATCCGAGAATGAGATTTAAAGTGAGAGATTAAAAACAGAGCAAAACTGTATAAAAAAAAAAGAGAAAAAGACAGAAAAAAAAATGCAGAAAGAACAAAAAAAAGAAAGAACAAAAAAATGCAGTGAAGGTGAGAGTGAAAAAAGAACAAGAAGAAGATTGGGAGATAAAGGGCATGTCCCTGCAATAACTTCCTCCTTGTGGCTTTCTCCACAGTGACTTCTTTCCACGAAATCCATGTGTCGAGTGCTCGGAATGCCGTATCTAATCCCGGGCGGGTCAAATTCAAAAGAAAACCTTGTTTTGCCCACTTTCTCTCTCATAGCTCCTTTTTTAAAAGGCGTACCTGTTTCCATACAACTTCTGTGCAGACAGAGTTTGGGTGGCATGTACAGACTTGCTTTGTCGCTGTCAGCTCGGCCAACCAGAACCTCAAACATCATTGGCGTTTTACATTTACTTTCTTTTGTTTAATCCTTTCAGCGGTCTCATTAGAACACAATTTTGTTCGGTGCAGGGCCAGCGTCTCTGTGTGGTGTGCGTTTACTTTGGTGTATGTATGTGCGTATAGGCTTCAGTAAAGACCGCTCCAGAGAGGGTGGAGAGAGCTGTCTTTAATATTGTGGTTTGAAATGGCTCGACAAATTGGTCACAGACAGTGAGGCGAGGGGGAGAGAAAACAATGTGCCCTAGAAACGGACCACTGGCGTTGAGGGGAGAGAGAGAACAAGGGGTTGAGGGATGACTGAGAGGAGAGGTTAACATGATTTATGTATAAGCTATTTAACAGGATCCACAAAATAATGTGTGTGTGTCCTGGCAGGTGTGCAGGAGGCATTCGATAAGGACTGGCAGGCCGGTAGGATCACTCAGGGGAACTACAGGAACGGCTCTGACGATGGTGTCCTGGCCTACAAACTCCTGGTGCAGACCGGCCGCAGGGATAAGCCAGTAAACATCAACCTGGTAAGAAATTAACTAGACTTGAGTCAACCTCACTTGAGTAAGATCAGATGCATCTCAATTCAACTCCAGTTTTCATAGATTGAATCCCATGATTCTCAGAGAGATGATGGAGCCGAGGTGGTTTATTCACAAATAAACTTTCACCTATATCCAAAGTTTTCACTCTTTTTAAAGAGCACATCACTGTTTATTTACTAAGAAACATACTATGCAGGTCGCCCAATTAACTTCGCAACCTAAACTAATTAACTTATTTTGTTTATTGGCTTTTTAAATAAGCGGGCTTGGTGACATTTTTATTTTATATATTTATTTTATTTTTATTTACTGAATGTTTTAAAAATGATATTACTTGCACCATGCTGAACTCTTTGAGAAAAAAAATATTGTTCTTATTTTTAGGAGTAGCCTAATATTACATATAATGTTTATTACTTTATTATTATGTCATATATGAAATTATCTATCTATCTATCTATCTATCTATCTATCTATCTATCTATCTATCTATCTATCTATCTATCTATCTATCTATCTATCTATCTATCTATCTATCTATCTATCTATCTATCTATCTATCTGTCTGTCTGTCTGTCTGTCTGTCTGTCTGTCTGTCTGTCTTATTAGTATTCATAATAATAATAATTAATAATAATATTGACTTGTGTAATATAAGATTTATAATATGTATTAGTAATGTTATATTTATATAGATTCTGAAATTATTGTTGATAATAATAATAATATTTTGTATTATAATTATTATTTACTATTAAACAATTGTCATGCCCATCTCTATTTCCCCCCCCCCCCCCCCCCGAAGTATATTGATACAGTACAGTGGCCTGGCCTTTTCTGTTACTTCCTGGTTGACATGATCAACATGTTTATGTGATTCTCTGGTTGTGTGTGTAATTCTCGAGATGACGGATTGGTGCTTGGCCAGATATGTCTTTAGCATCAGTGTCAGGGTTTATAACCACGCATAGGAACCACACCTGGCTTCTGAATGTTCGTCTGTATCTGTCCTCATTCTCTTTCTCTCTTTCTATCTCTGATTGCTTTACCAAGCACAGGAATTTAAAGCTCTCGATGGGGCCGCAACTTGCCTCTGAAAAAGCAATTAAGTCTTCATTTAAACCATTTGTTCCAGTTTCTTGCTGCAGGCCTAAAGCTCAGCCTATGCAACCTTTTCAGGACTCTTCAGAGGGGCCTTGTCAAGAAAGAAACCGCTGCACGCACACACACAAAAAAACATAACAGGTTAACACATTAACAGTTTCCAGTTGCTACCCAGCATGAAATGTCAGGCAAGAGGAGAGCAAAAATATGAAAAATACAAGGCATACCATATACCAGAGGGACTAGAGGGTGGGAGGTGTGGAGCAGATGGCGGCGAGAAAGACGGCGTGTGTGTTTGAGAGTGTGTCGTCTTGTCAGGTAATTGGCAATGCACACATAAGACCAGAAATGATTTGCATTTTTGTTGTTTTCAAGTGGTCATTATTGTGCTGAACCATTGCCAGCTGAATGGGAAAGAAAAGCCAGCCGATCTGTGTTGGTGTGCGGCCCTGTGATGTCATTTCCTCTGCCTGTGAGGGAAGAGGGGCGGCAGTGGGCCAGGAGGCCGCCAGCTTTGCACTGTGTGCTTCCCATGACAGCTTGAAGACATACAGTTGTTGCGCATCCTGCTGCTTAATGCAATCCAGATCTTTGGAATCCAGGTCCGCTTTTTTCTCTCCCGCCTCTCGCTTATTCCCTTCTCTTGGAAGTGCTGCCATGTCCCCTTTCAGTGTATACAGAGGCGGGAATCACATGCTGCCTGTCTCTTGGTCACCTTAAAACTTGCACTACTTTTTCCTTGGACTTCCATTTTTTTTCTTCATCTGATTTTTTTTATTATATTATATTATATTTATATTATTTATTTTAAAATACATTAAACAGAAAATCAATACAAAATGATACACTTTCTATTTTATATATTTGTTTTATTAAATTTAAATTTGATGAATAAGACATTTTCTTACTCATCTACTATTTTTATTTTAGGTTTTTATTTTTATTTAAACATTTTTCCCCTCATCTTTGTGATTACTATGATAAATTACAACCCTCTACAGACACACTGAGTCACCATTGAGGTTCGATGATGCTCACTGAGTCACCATGAGGCTCTAGTCACCATTGTCTAGTAAAAATCTTTTATAAAACTCGCCAGATTTTTACATGGAATGCAAGAACAATGCAAAAAAATCGACATAAATATAACATCAATAACCAAACTCAAAACTAAAGAAAAAGCACACATAAACAAAACTTAAAGCTGCAGTCCGTAGCTTTTCCTCTTTGTCGCCATCTCTCTGTTCGAAATCTGTAACTGCAGTGATTCGCGGAATTATCATCTTTACGTGGGTTGTAAATCGGCATGAAACAGCGCGGATGAACACAGTGTTTTGAGGCGAGTGGTGCTGTCAGTCACCGCGCTGTGTGGATACTGTCATACAGAATCACAGATTCACTTTTTGAAAGTTTGACCAACATAAGAATTTGCATAAGAAAATGTCTTCTGAACAAGTAAGTAACATCCATTTTTGTTCTGACCAACTAAGGGGGAAAAAGCATTCGACATGATAAGCTTCGTTAGATTTAATCAACGCGATTTACAGCAACCGTGCAAATTATAGCCTACTTTGTTCTCAAATTGTTCATGTTAACAACATCAGCATTGCGTGACTAATGTTAAATTTAATGTGTTTTATGGTTACCTGTGTAGTTCAGAATTCATATTCTCCATAATAGCAAAACGAGAAAGGCACAACAAAGGAAACTCCATAACTGTGTGAATTAAGAAAACGTACTGTTACACGATTGAACTATTGAAATGTCTTACTTGTTCAGCAGAAAAAGGCCGTCTCTTCTTCTGTTTTGAACCCCTTCAAAACACGGAGTTCACGCACTTTTCAAAAGCCCCGCCGATGTTTAAATCCTTGTTCGCATGAGACGGTTTCTTTCTCTTTCTCTAGCCACCTTAAATCCGAAGTACGAAGTCTTTTGGGTTTTATAACTGCTGAATCTCCAGTTGACACTGATGATTGTTGTTTGGATCTTTCTGGATGCCATAAGTTTAATTATGTAAAGTGCTGCGAGAAAAGCCTATACATCTAAACATGTCGTCACGCGCAGTATAGCCGGCTAGCCGAAACTCCTTCTTTATGTGTACGGGTGTGACGTAATGACGCAAAGACATGCTCGAATTTCCCGCGGAAACCCACCAGTACCACTGGAATTAAAATCATTATTACAAGCTAACCGTTTTGAATCTAGCTATGGCAAGCAGATAGTTTTGACCACTGGCAGAATAAGTTTTTTTTTAATATAATTATTTTGGATTATTTTTAACTTAAAAAAGTTACGGACTGGAGCTTTAACGTAAAATAGTCCAGCCCTGGTCCTCTCTCATCCTCTACTGTCGTCGCTCTTCCTTTTATGCTCCCGTAACTCCTCCATGAGACACGAGGCCGGTGCGGCACACAGGTTTGACGGCGTAAATGACTGGTCATATTAGAGCATGCGGCACTCGCATCGAACAAAGTTTATAAAGAGTGTCTGTTTTATCCATGTGTTTTTGATCATCGCTGTTGTAACGTATTGGGAAGCCAGAATGCGTATCCATCGACAGAAACGTACATTAGTCAAACTCTTGTCAGTCTGTTTTACGCTTTGTTATAATGATTTACAACAAACCTTATTATAAATGCGTCGTCAGTTTTAAGATGAACCGCGGTGAAAGTGCGTGCCAAACCGTGGGTGGAGAATGGTATGGTTATTTATTTTATTTATTTTTAAACAAGAAAAAAAAATTCTCATTTATTTATTTAATTTGTATTTAATCTCAAGATTTTTTGTTCCTTTCAGGCAGTTTTACTTGTTTTTAGTTTTTACTTGTGTTGAGTAGGATTTTAGGTCATTGTCCTATCAAATACCCTATTTTTGCCTTCACGGCAGGAGCCGTCTGTGGCGCCGGGCTTTGTGGGTATCCATAGGGGTCAGGAGAAGCAAGTGTTTGCAACATTTGTACAGATGCTGTGTTATTTTTATAGCTCTCCTCCATTTGCTGGGTGGCATTTCCTCCAGTGTTAACAGCAAGGTTAACTGCACACAGACGCGCTCAGGGACTCCGGCCAATTTTTTTATTGTTACACTAACTCAAGCAATTTTTCTCTCACTCACTCTCATTTCTACCACACACCCTGATCCCCCCACCCCCCACCACACACACACACACACACACACACACACACACACACTGACCCCCAACTCCTGGCTGGGAAACTGTAGATTTATTTTCTTGAGAAGCATGGATGGCATTGAGTGTGATGCCGTAATGACTTTGCCTTCACAGGAGGTAGCTAGGTGAGAAGCAGAGATTGCTGCAGTGCTGGTGGGCATTCACAATGCTCGATTATGTAGTACATACATTGGTGTTTCTGCTTTTTCTAGAAATAGTTAAAGTTAGCAGACAAACCGTGTTGAACAGTTACTAATTTCACTTTTTCTTTCTTTTTCTTTTTTTAATCACCAGCTAACCAGACAGCGGTTGGTGGGTGCCGATGGAATCATCAACCCAAACGCCTTCTATATTTATTTATCTGCCTGGGCGAGCAATGACCCGGTTGCCTACTCCGCATCCCAGGCCAACATCCGTCCACACCCTCCTGAGTGGCTCCATGACAGGACAGACTCCATTCCTGTCAGCAGACTCAACAGTGAGTACTTTCTGATTCATTTATCACCAGTCCAAGGGGCCAGAAACACTACAATGAGTCGATGTAACCAACTTTCATTTTCAGCATTTTAATATGCTGAATTGTGTTGATCTTATCCTGTTATCCTCAGTGCCTATGCTTTGTGAGCACAATAATTTCATCCCAAGCAGCAGAAGATGGCATTAATGCATTATGTGGTTGGGTTATGCTTAGTTTACATTAGTGGTTTGGAAGTTTAGACATCTTAAACCTGTGAATAAACCTGCTGTCATTTTGGGAGTTTTCCTTTATTCAGGTCTTATTTGGTAGGATATAATTTTTTTGTGCTAAATGATAAACGTCAACATGCGTTTACAACACATTTTACATCCGTAATTTTACCTATTTGATAGTAAAAACAGGATAATTAAAAAATAAATTATAGGACTAGACATATTTGTCTTATGGAGGATTTTTTATTTTTCAGCTTACCAAATAATAGGGCTTGGTGACATAATTTTAATTTTAATTTTATTCTTTAAACCTGAAGTGATGAGTTTTTATTTTTATAAAAAAAAAAAATTAAATCAGAAACAATTCATCAGTAATCCATAAATTTGAAACATGCATTGTTCATATTAAGACTAGGAGTATGATTAAATGTATTCTGTTACATATGAAGTTTTGACGTTTGGTTAATAATGGTCAACTGAGCTTTTCCACAACTAAATGACTTGTGTATCGTTTATGAAGTTCAGACAGCGAAAGTGGGTTTATTCCAATTGTAGTTGTATTTTTAAAGTTAACAGCAGCACTGGGCTGCGTGAGCTTGTGTACATTGTGTGTGTGCAGTACACAGTGGGCGCTCGGGGAAAATGTGACTGGATAACAAGCTGAAGCGGCCTCTCCGAGTCTGAGCCCCCACAGCAGGCTGGCAGACGTCCAACTCCCGTCCTGATGGAAATTTATAGTGGAGATTATAACGGGGCAAAAGCATGTTTAGCAAGTGGTCCTGCCTGACCCCTTCAGGCACTGGAACACACACACTCAGATATTCCCTCCCTTCCACCCACACGCCCTTCACAGATGCTCTCACACACACCTCTGGAGCGCTAGTCATTCTGGGTCACATTCTTCTGATTTTATTTGTGGTTTTAAGACTGCCGCTTATCCAAGTCCAGTAGCCAGAGTGATGACTCATTCCAGTCCTGCTGCTGAAAGCCCTGCAGTGCACACAAGCTTTGATGACAGGTGATAACTGTCAGCATGAATTTGGCAATACTAAAACGTTTGATGGTCGTCCGCGTGTGTGTGTGTGTGTGTTCGTTCCAGAGAGGAGCGGTGGGATATTTCAGTGCAGATTTTTGACAACATAATTACAGCAGATCATCGTCAGGATTGACACTCGGCTGCATGTCGAGATTTGATAGCTGGTAATTTAGCGCTCTTTTCCTCCTGGGGCGGTAAAGAAATCGACATGTTTAATAGGTGCAATCTGTCACTTTGAGAACACTAGACGTCCTTTATGCCAACCAAGACTCTCAAAGAGTGACAGGTCATGTGGCTTGTTGTAAAAGTAAAATTTACTAATAATTATCTAATTTGTATGGACATCTTTGTCTTGATGTCTGCAGTTCCGGCTGCTGAGCCCATCGAATATGCACAGTTTCCCTTCTACCTCAACGGGCTTCGTGAGACGCCACAGTTCGTGGAGGCCATCGAGAGTGTACGTGCCATCTGTAGCAACTACAGCCGCCAGGGCCTGCCCAGCTACCCCAATGGCTACCCCTTCCTCTTCTGGGAGCAGTACGTAGGCCTGCGTCACTGGCTCCTGCTGTCCATCAGCGTCGTGCTGGCCTGCACCTTTCTAGTGTGCGCCGTCTTCCTGCTCAACCCCTGGACTGCGGGAATCATAGTGAGTTTCTCCTTATAATGTGTCAGGGTTTTGTGTACACGCACATTAATCACAGACTTGGCTCTATCTGTGTATGTACATTCAAGGCTTGTACAAACCAAGTCAGAATTTTTGGCATGAAACGGAACATTTCTATTAACTCCTTCATGATCTGAAATATCCACTGCAATTATCTGTTGTTGTTTTTTCAGTTGGAGGCTAGGTCGTTTTTTTTTAATTGGTCACATGCCCGAAAAAATGAATTCATGTATCCAAACTTTTTTTTAGAGACGTCAGACTAGGTGTAAGTAGTTTTGGCACAAATCTATAAAAAATATTTTCAAATATGGTTTACTTTCGTAGCATTTAGTTAAGCTGGACTTGGTGTAAGCAGGTCTTAAGTGGTAATATATAGATATAAATAATATTTATATCTATATATTACCACTTAAGACCTGCTTACACCAAGTCAAGTTTCTGCTGGACTTGGTTGAACAAAAATAAACTATTTTGTTGCTCAAGCTTATCTATTCAGTCATTATTCAATGGTATACTAAAAATCCATGTGAAAAAAATTACTTCTCGCTGTTCTCAGGTCAAATATTTATGCAATTAATTTCGATTCATTAATTACAAAGCCTCTAATTAATTAGATTTATATCTTTTGAACTGAGTTTTATTTCATTGTGTTACTCTCTCAAAAGTCAACCTTTTGAAATATTATAGTCCTGTTTTGGAGTAAAAAGAAACATTTTCAAATATTTGTTTCGGTTATTCAACAGTACATGCATCATAGGGTTCAATTAATGCTAGTTTTTCAAATTCTTCATATTCTCACTCCTTTACTAAACTTCATCATCCGTTAATATCTATTTACTCAGTTTTTTTCCTCACAAAATAAAAGGTAATTGTGACCTTATTTTTTTGCAATTGCACATTTTATATTTCACAATTGCAACTTTATAGTTAATGTTTTATTTATTGAAATTGTGACTATTCCTCACAACCACATTTATATCTCATAACTGCACCTATATATTTCAAAACTGCATCTATTTTCATAATACCACCTTTAAAACACTAATTGCACATATTTCTACTAGTCTTAAATTTTATTTTATATTATATAATATTTTTCAATTGCCGTTTTAGTTCATATGTCATAAAACAAGTTTCTTACAATTACATTTAATAAAAATTTTTACTCTGGGGTGGAAACAAGCTTTCACAACGTCGTCCTCATTATTCTGTGAAGGACTGTGATTTACAAGAGGTTTGGAAGTAATTAAATGTGCACAATTTAGAGCAAGACAGGGGAGGCCAGGCAGGAATTGCTGAAGAGAAGCCGTGTTTTTACAGCCCTGCGCTTTGTGTTTATCTTATACTGTCAGAGCCAGTTTGTTTAGTCTACATGAGGCTTTTTGAGACATTTCTCTAAAATAAATGGGGAAATGAGAGGTTACCACAGCAACTATATCACTCCACATATATATATATAAAAGACCTGCTGTTCCTGCTGAAATGTGCGCGTATGTAACATTTATATCATTCGTGAGGCCTAACTTTCTTTCCCACACTCTGTCAGCCACTTTTTGATGGTTTCTGTTTTATTAGGGGCAGTGTTTAAGCCATCTAACTGATCCAACTCTGTCTGACAGGATAGCGGCTTCATCCTTTTGCTTTACTGGACACTTGAAAGGGAAAGTTATAGCCCTGCTTCAGCTTTTACCATTGCGCTTTTGTCCCAGACCACCAGCGGCCCCCTTAAACTCCATACGTCCCCACTTCCGCAATGCTCGACCCCCCTCCCTTTCATTTGCCAAGCCCTCCCAGCCCCCTCCGTTGGCCCTCTTTCTGTCCTCTTCAAAGGCAGCTAGGCCCCCAAGTAACCCAAGACTCATCAGCTGATTATAGCATTTACTTTACCAGTTCATAGCCTGAGTTCAGCTCCATATGAAAGCGTCGCTGAAGAGCAGATATTTTCCCACATTCCACAGCACTTTATCTAAGCTGACCCATCTAACCCGAGCTGTACTTTACTTTAATCTATGTAAAGTATGGCTCCTTGTGTTTTCGGAAAGAGCTAGGATGATGGATTTATGTTTGCCGGTCCTCTTCAACAGGTGTTGGTGTTGTCTTTGATGACGGTGGAGCTGTTTGGCATGATGGGATTGATCGGCATCAAGCTCAGCGCTGTGCCCGTTGTCATCCTCATCGCTTCTGTTGGCATCGGTGTGGAGTTTACCGTCCACGTGGCACTAGTGAGTTCATGTGCTAGTCATAATTGCGACTATTTCTCGTAATTGCATCTTTTTATCTCACAATTGCGACTATATATAGCTAGTTCACTCATTATTATTAATATTATTATTGGTCTGGGTGATTTATATCGATCATGTTTGTGATGTTTTCTTCTCAGGCATTCCTCACAGCCATCGGGGACAGGAACAAACGAGCCGTTTTAGCACTTGAGCACATGTTTGCCCCAGTGCTGGATGGAGCGTTTTCCACCCTGTTAGGAGTCTTGATGCTGGCAGGGTCAGAGTTCGACTTCATAGTCAGGTAAAGACTCCAGACATGTATTTTTCAATCCCTTTCTGCCACATAGATTGTAGTACATTTAATGTACTTTAAGATGGGATAGCTGTGTTAATCAGAATAAAGGGTTAGTTCACCCAAAAATGAAAAAAAAATGCCATAATTTACTCACCCTTATGTCGTTTTTAAAACCTGTAAGACTTTCATTCATCTTCGAAACACAAATGAAGATATTTTAAATTAAATCTGAGAGAATCCTGTCCCTCCATTGAGTCCAGGCAACTACCACTTTGTCCCTTCAAAAAGTTCATAAAGAGATCGTAAAAGTAATCCATATGAATTGAGCAGTTTAGCCCAAATTTTCAAAAGAGATTTGATCGCTTTTTATGATGGACAGATTTGATTTAGGCTTTTATTCACATATAAACATTGATCAGTGAATATAAACAGAAGCTCTACCGAACCTGCTTGACGCACAATGACAAACCTCATTGGTTATGATTTAATATTCATGAGGAGAATGATTGTGGTCCAATGAATATCCTGTGAGTGCATAGCTATCTGGCTCAACATATTAAAGTATAAACATAGAAACTATCCCTCATCATAGCTGGTTTGACAGAAACTGATTAACATAGAAAAGATCACTTTTATCGCTTGTCGCTTTTGTCACATAACGCCTGGTTAGGACACAGTGCAAATGTTTTCCAACCAACCTCCCTTCATGTTCAACATGAGCACGTATCTTTCCTGTCTGTCTTCACAGAGCTTGAGGCTCTCCTGTGTTTTCTGTAATTTTTTTTTTTTTTTTTACGGCCCTGCAAAGACATTTACAAGCTGAGCACATAGAGGGCCCGGGGGTTATTTTGCAGCATGTCGAGGAGTGGAAATGAGGAGTGACACACACTGCTACTTAGAGGATCTAAATCAGTAACTTTGCAATTGCTTTATGTTTTATGTCCTTCCCGTCCTCAGATGAGTCCGAACAGATACGCAAATTTATTGTTTCTTGGAGCGGTATCGAGACTATCATTGTGCTGAAATTCAAATCACACTTATATCAAACTGAGTCATGAGTGTTTGAGTGGTAAGTTTCTCGGCTGTTTCTATGGGAGAGAAAGAACAAATGTCTGCAGTAGCTCATTCTTATTAGAGGACTGGAAAACCACCACAGCCCTCCACCCTCAAATCACTCTGGATCTAAAGTAGCATGCCAGAAAAATAATACACACACAAGTTCAGAGCAATCACACACTCTCTCCGCAGACCACATTGGGCCCCAGTCCCTCTCATGGGCTCCCATTGAAACGCAACTACTGTTTTTTCATCAAACAAAACCCCCTGGCCTCCGAAGATATGGAAAAAAAACAAAAAACGCAGGCTGTATTTTTATAGCCTTGCAGGAATAAATGTTTCCCTGACTTTGCTCCGTCAGGTCCGCTAATGTTTTGAATCTAAACAGATCGGACGAGTTGCTCGGCGAGGTTTCACTTGGGAGAAGTGGCTTTCGAGAACAGCTCTTGGTTCATGGACACTTCACGCGACGTCTCAAGAGTTCAAAGTTGAAGAACATAAAACTCTTTTGTTGCTTCAGCCAGTCTGAAGGAATCACTCTCATCCGTGGAAAAGCACACCGGCTTAAATCACTCGTCAACACGAACATTTAGTTTGGAGTCTGTGACTTTCCGAGCGGTTCGACCAAGATGTCTGTTGAGTTGTAGCTATTGATCTGTTTGATCTCTCTGCTTGTGAGTTCTGCCTTTCGTGTGGTAGAGCAAGAGCCAAACGCAAACCCAAAAGTGCAATTCAAGGAGCCTTACTTGATGAAATGCAGACATAGTCTAAAGACCCAAACTTTTTTGTTTTGTTTTGTTTCAAACATAAGCCTAAATAATACCAGGCTGGCTTCTCTCTCCACTCTCTCCCCAAACAAGTGGCGTCTGCTTGGTTAAACACTGTGGTAGCTGTTCCCTTGAACCAGACATACGAATCCTCCCAAATGACATAAAGTGAGTGTGCCTAGAGAGACACCCAGGTCTGTGGTTCTCTAGTGAGAAGCCCACCTCGTGCGGCCATAACAGGACATTGTTTGAGTCTGAGGAGCGGCTTGTAAACCTGGGGAGGCCGAGCAAGAGCAGCATCAGTTATAAATGTGTCTGTGGGTTTAGTCTGAGGTGCAGCTGTGCTGCATACCAGCTGGCAGGCCTTCGCTAATGTATCCACTGTCTCTCCCACACACGCAGTCACATATTTATTCCAGTATAAAGTATGGTTTAAATGCATATTTCGCCCATGCAGTACCTTTGATTTGACTGCAAAAATTTGTTTTCCAGTAAAAATATCCGTATATAAATGTATGCAAAAAATACATTTATAATGTGAAATTAAGTTATATAATATTTATTTGATTTACTTTGTTTATTTATCTCTTTATATTTTATCTTTTACATTTTTTTAATGATCAATCTAACATTGTGTGTGTGAAGAAGATAAGAAGTACATTAAGGCCTGGTTCCACAGACAGGGTTTAGATTAAGCCAGGATTAGGCCTTAGTTGAATTAGGACATTTTAAGTAGCTTTTGTAAATGTTCCTTAAAAAACATTACTGGTGTGCATCTTGAGACATAACAATGGTACTGATATATTTTAAGATATGGCTTTTAGTTAGAACATGCTTTGTCTGTAAAACCAGGGGTGAATTGTACTAAAATACATATTTCATATTTTGTCTTTCATCTATATATATAAGTGTGTGAATATATATGTGTGTATATATTCAGTGTATATTTTATGAAAAGAGGCATTGTTCTCTCAGAGCTCAGCTCAAATAAATTAGTCTTGTTTTAAAACGGTTTAGATAATTTACTGGAAAATAAGAAAACGCATTGATTGATGCCAATTTTTTTTTTTTTTTTTTTTGCAGTGCATACATTTAGTAAATGGTAATTTTAAAGAAAACATCAAGAAAAAAGTGTGTCCTCATCCCAGTATTTCTCTAAAGTACAAGATGGCAACTGCAATTTGAGCTGCAGCAATTTACACTGATGCATTGCTGGAGTAGCGAAGGAGGGAAAGCTGGCTATAATGAAGAAGAGAGAAAGAGCGAGGGAGCGAAGGAGGACAGGAGGGAGGGATTTGTCGAGGAGATTGGGGGGTCTTACCTGATACTCTAGAGATTTAATTAGAGCAGGGGATTGTAAAAGGCAGGGAAATTTCACAGAGGCTTAGCATAGAAAGACTGATAGAGAAAGAAAGAGAGGGAAAGTGAATGTGCTCGAGGCCAGGCAAAAGGGGCCTGTAGTCTTTCCTCTCGTCTCTTCCTCCTAGACTAAATTGTTTAAATTCTATACCGTTCACTTCATTTGTTTGCTTCTGCGTTCTTTTTTTAAAGAGCGAGAGAGGCCCCTGTCCCTTTGTGCTTTGCCTCTCTTCTCTCGCAAGCCTGTACTCCACATTCCTTCCCGTTTTGCTTTTCCCTGTGTTTGCTTGTACTCCACTCACCCCTAGAAAAAAGAGAAAAGAAAAACCTCTCTCTTTTTCCTTCCCTATTTTCCATCCTTTTGAATTAACCAACTAATTATGTCCTCTGCTTCTCTGTGCTGCTTTCTAAAAGACCTCTTTGGAGACTTTCTCTGGCACAAGGTAATTTTGTTTAAAACCAAACCCGACTAAAGTCTTTTTGTGCGCGAATGTTTGTTAGAATGTGCCTGAGTGACTTTTGCTCTGTGCTTGAGTCATAGTAGTAAAGTTCCTTTTTTATTCTGATTACAGTGTTTTTTGCTGTGTATTTACAGGTATTTCTTCGCTGTTTTGGCCATCCTAACAGTATTAGGGGTCCTGAATGGACTGGTGCTGCTCCCAGTCTTATTGTCCTACTTTGGCCCTTATCCTGAGGTAAGAGGATTGCTCCTGTTAAGTTATCCTGCATAACGCCTTCACATACCATACGTAGTGCTATACGGACCCACTTCAGGTCATGATACATGTCTTTTTACTGTGTATTATACCTAAGAATAACTTATTTCAAGATGAGCATATACGGGACTGAAGCAACTTAGGTTTACTTACATGCATTTTGTTTATTTTTATTTTTATAGAAAAATCATGTTAAAATGTATCAGAGATGTATTGTTTTGACAGCTTTGATCATAAAACTAAGTTAAAATTTTAAATATCATCTTAAGACATATCATTGGCAGAAATAGAATGACGACTGATATTTACATGCATTTTATTTTTTGGCCATATAAATATCAGCAACTGCTCCAAATTCCATATTTTAGCTCAGTTTGAGCCTCTGAATAAAATTGGGGTGTTTTTTACTCCTTGAGGATGAGCTCCATATTTTTCTATATCATACAATATAAGCCATAAAAGCTTGATGTATCAAATATAAACAAAAAACAAATATTCAAAAGTGTTTTTTTTATTTACATTTTTTAAAATATTTTTACTGTTCCATTTAAAAAAAGTAGATTTTTGACTTATTTCAAATGTCAGGCTTTACAGTGTTCAATTTTAAAAACACTCATGTTTTAAAAACAGTGTTTAATGTAATCTTTCTTATACTGTACATTATAATGCTTTGATGCCTAAATTCACTTGCAGCATTAAAAATGCTTGATTATAGTTTAATTTAAATATATTTAGACAAAATAGCATATCATTTTAATATCTGCCATTTATCTGTTATCAGCATTTTTAAGAGTGGCTAAACTGAGCCACTGTGAATATTCAAAACTATGCGATGATGTTAAATATTTTAAATATCACAGGAACATCCACACATTTTAGATAGAGCAACTTCTCAGATTTTTATTTTCATGGCCAATACACTTTCAGGTATCTCCAGCGGACGGACGAAGCCGGCTGCCCACCCCGTCTCCAGAGCCTCCCCCACAGGTGGTCCGCTTCACCATGCGGCCCAGTCACACGACCCCTGGAGCAGGTTCAGACTCCTCAGACTCAGAATACGGTTCCAACACTACTGTGTCTGGCATTAGCCAAGAGCTTCAGCAATATGACCTCCAGCCCAACAGGGGGCGATCAGCCAGACTGGAAGAGGTGCAGATCGCCACAGGGGGACGACAAGGCAGTCGTCAAGTTGAATTGCCAATGTGTCCTTCTTACTCAGTGAGTAGAGTGTTTATATCACTATGTATTTGACATAAAAACAATGAAGTAACGTTGTTCCAATGTTTTCCACAGGATGACTCTAGACAGCAGCAACCACAGCGGCATTACAGGTCTACCCATCTGCCCAGTTCTCAGGATGCTGGACCTCAGTCGTCAAAGCGATACTGTAGCAGGGACCCTAAGAGGGATTTTGGGAGCGGACACCCGCCTCCCCCTCACAGGCCGCGCATGGATGCTTTTGAAACCGCGCCTGAGCCAGGAGGCCGTTCAGGCCCCAACCACCGGGAACGTTCAGGGGCCCATCGCCCCCGTTCCCACAATCCTTACTCTCACCCTTCCCAGCCGTCCACAGGCCCTGCCTATGGTCAGCCCATCACAACGGTGACGGCCTCGGCCTCGGTGACGGTCGCCGTTCATTCGGGGATGCCCGGCCAGAGCTCTACCTACCCGTCCCACCCCTCCAATGACAGCTATCACACTTCAGAAGATGTCTACACTGACCCTCTCTTCTCCGACCCTCACGTGCCCTTTGACGAGAGCAACAACAGCTCAAAAGCGGAGGGCATGGAGCTGCATGATCTAGAATATGACACTCCCAATGTCTGCCACACAAGACCCTCCAGCTGAGGTTAGTTGGGGAGCTTCTTATACGGCGGAATTCAAGTAAAGCGGTCCACATCAAATCAGCAGGGCTGTCAATTTATTCAAATGTTTAATAATATTAAATAATATTAATATTAATAATGTATGAATTAAGGTTTAAGTTTATATTAATTAAAGCTAAATGTAATTAAAATCCATATATAATACTATATTATAACCGTGATACATTTTTTCAGGATTATTTGATGAATAGAAAGCTCAAAAGAACAGTATTACTGAATAACAGTATTCATTTCTTTCCCTTTTGTTCAATTAACTGACACCAAACTTTTGAACGGTAGTGTAAATACTGTTCTTTTGAGATTTCTATTGATCAAAGAATTCTCAAAAAATGAATCACGGCTTCCACAAAAATATTAAGTCAAGTCAGTTCTATTTGTATAGTGCTTTTCAAAATAATAATAAAAAAAAAAAATGAAGCTTTACAGAAAACTATGATGTTAATGTGGTGACACTTTACAATAATTTCCATTAATGCATTATTAACTAACAATGAAAAATACGTTTATTACAGTAATTATTCATCTTTGTTAATGTTAGTTAATAAAAGTACAATTGTTCATGTTGTTAGTTCATTTTAGCTCAGGACCGTTAAATGATATAAACAGATACATCTTTTCATTGTAATAATGTATTAGTAAATGCTGAAATTAACATTTAACTAAGATTAATACATTCTTTAGAAGTATTTTTCATCGTTAGTTCATGTTTACTAATATCGTTAACAAATGGAACCTAATTGTAAAGTGTTACAGTTAGTGTTTATATTTGAATATCTTCTTGGCTTATAGTCGCATTTAGCAGATTAGAGCTGATATTAAGCATCACAGTGGTTTTCAACATTGATTATAAGAAAAGTTTCTCAAGCAGCAAATCATCATCTTAGAATGATTTCTGAAGGATCATGTGACACTGAAGACTGGAGTAATGATGCTGAAAATTCAGCTTTGATCACAGGAATAAATTACATTTTAAAATATATTCAAATAGAAAAGTTATTTTAAATTGTAATCATATTTCACAATATTACTGTTTTACTGTATTTTTGATCAAATAAATGTAGCCTTGAGCATAAGAGACTCCTTTAAAAAAGCATTAAACATTTCTTTCTTTTTTTAATTGTTAATGAAATTACATATATCAAAATGCGTTTTTTAATTGCATTAGTTATTTAGCACATACTTGTTTATAATAGAATTAGAAAAATAAATTGACAGTCCTAATACAAACGATTACTAATAATAACACCTTTCTATCTGATTCAATTATATGGACTTAACCAGGTATCTTATCTGTTATTAAACCTGTTTTTTCCCCTACTTTGTCTTCACAGTGGTTGAATGTTGAAGCTCAAACAGCCAAAGATGGGACATCTGTCTGCCAGCGTGGCATAAATACATGGTGCTGCATGGCGGGGACACTTTGACCAGCGGCGCCATTTCGGTGCTTGACTCTGTTACTGTATAACCCTGGTGTATTATTGTTAGATATTTCTAAGTATTTATGTGTACACAAATGTAAATAATGAATGAGAGTAGCTATAATTTGACCGGGATCGTCAGACTTGTGTGTTCCAAGTGCCCACCCATCATTTGGGTATCTGTGCCATAAGGAAACTTCATTCTTGACAAACATTTCAGCATACAGTCGTTGCTGCTTATGATATTGTTGTAATGTTTGTATAATGCTATGCAATTATTTTCTCTAATTTTATAGAACTGTGCGTGTGAGAGTATGAAAATGTACAGTTTTTGTTGTTGTTGTATGTGTGCATGTATGAATATTTTGGTCCACGTCAGGCCCCCTAGACCCCTCAGATGCATATTAACTAACAAGAACAAACACTAAGTGGCCTAACATTATATGTTGAATGATTTTGTGGCAGTTCCATTGCACTTACGGTACACTTCTGTTCAGAACACCAGTACAAAACTGCACAGATACTTTCACTTTCAGAGGACACATTCAGGGAAATGATATTTGTTCAGACATATGCTAGAACACGTAGAACTTCACATTAATATCCAGTTGTTTGCCGACAAGCATCAGATGTTTAAGCGTGCGTGCGGATGTTTGCGTTTTGTGTATATTGAAGCGTTAGAGTTTATGCTTTTTTATTTTAATTTGCTTATCACAAACCTGTGGTAGTTCAAAAAAAAACAAATACTGTTTAACATTGAAACACGCTATGCGTGAGAATTTAGCTGAGCAGAAATGAAGAAGGAAACGAGTGATTGTTGGGTGACTGTGCCTCTGTTTTTCTGTCCTCTGTACTGGAACTCTCTCTGGCCTCTTGTATTCTCTTCATATTCCAGTTATTTACTGTAAAACGGTCATATGCGGCCACCCTAAATTTGCTCATGACTCCAACTTTGCATTACTAAGGTAATGTAATGTGACGGTTATTTCGGGTTTTCATTGTAGCGTTTTTTTTGTTCGTTTTTTACGGTACGGCATTATTTCTGTTCAATCATGGTTTAAGCTAAAACATTACTGTTAAAACAATATCCGCTCTGATTCTGGTGACGTAACTTTTTTTGGTCTTTTTCGTTTTTGTTTTAATAAGCTATGCTAACGAGCAATCTCAAGGTGTGCGTCGCATAACGGCCGATCATGACGATGGTTTTTGTCAATTCGTTGACCTCCTCAATGACAAACCACAACTACTGGCCCTAATTTAGCACGAGCAGTTCTCTGCGCTGACCTCACCTCATAAAAATCCACAACATAACGCTGTGACACTAATTGGACATTCCCCCCTCAACTGCCAAATGGTGCAAGCGAGTGCTTTAAGGGTCAAGGGTCATGGAGCCCCCACTCCTCCATGGCTCTGAAGCTGGCATGTGTGTCTTTAACAGTGTGTTTGTGTTTGCTGCGACCCCCTCGTCCAGATTGACTTCCTGTCAAACATGTGTTTGTTCTTGACAAAGACTTTGAGAGCTGTTCTGTGTTGTTTGTTTGTTGTGTTTGTGTTCTCCTAAATGTCACATTGGCAGAAATGGGAGAAAATCATGGCTGGCAACTATTGTAATGTTTATATATATAAATATATATATTCTATTTTTTTTTTTTTTTTTTTACAGTTGTTTTGCAATATTTATATTTTTGTATAATAAGATGTTTTGTTCAATTATGGTCATAATGCCAGTTCTTAACAATGCAGGGATTTTTACGTCTGTCGGAAAACACTATTATTACAGTTTCTTTGTTACAATAATGGATTTTGATCTGTATAAAGTGCTTACTAATGTTAAATAGGAAAAAAGAGTATATAACATTTACCTTACAGATTCATCATAGCTCTTAGAGGATTTTAAAAGGAAAAAATAATGTTTTTTTTTTACAGACTGCCATTTTTTCCCATTGTTTTGGCGTGGATGTATGTCGTTTTCAGTTACAAAGATAAATGTATGCCATATAATTTATTTATATGAAAATTTATTTTTGTAGTGTACATAGTAGTTGTCAAGTTATTTGACAGAAGTATATTTTTAAAGAGTTTATATGTAATGCTACCATTTTTGTGAGAACATAACTGAGAAGACATTAAGATGCACACTTTCATTGCTAACTTGTTCTCTGACAACTAAAGTTCCCCTGTTACAGTGTTATATAGACGAGAGTGAGTCCAATCTGAAGACTGTTTTTGGGTTTTGTGAAAAGCTAGCCATGAAAGTAGAACAAATGTACTAGCTCTCTAAATAATAATGTTCAAACACTGATAGAATTCTAACAAATAAAAATATTATAACTTATTTGTCTCTTTGCTATACATTTAATAAATGATTCTTTAAAATGTAGCTACACCCGTGACTATTTCTTTAGCGTAACCTTGTGACCTTCACGAGTCAAATGTTGCATGGAGCATTAGCATTTTCATCACCTAACACCCAGTCATTATACATTTCCTCACATACGGGCCTTAAACTAACAAACCTGATTGATTTAACCAAGCCACCCGAGCCGTTGTTGGTAATGCTGTGCGAGTCTTAGAAAAGAAAGAACAATTCAATGACCTAGCCTCTGTACGTATCAAACGTACAATCAAAAGGCCTAATCAATTTGCCTGAACTTTACATTAAAGTCAAGAAAGTCCGACAACATTATCTCGCGCACAGGATTTCGACTTGCTGACATCTGGCTACAGATTCAGTCTCCCCCCGTTCAGGCAGTCATACTCAACTCTGCGCTCGACTCTCTTGTATGATTCTGATTGACAGTTTTATAGACTGCAAGGAAATTGGTTGTAGTTACAATACAGCTGGTGTGCTCTAAGTAATGAAAAGGGGCATATGGCCTTAAAAACAGAGTGATGGAAACTGATTCAGGCTGCCCCCTTCTAACTGCTGCATGGGTGGCAGCCATTTATTATTCATACGTTATAGTTGCCAAGCTTGTTTCAATCTACTGTAACCTTTGATACACTGCAGCGACTTGCTCTCTTGAATACACTGTGGTCGGTGTAATTGCTTTTAGAGCCAACAGGAGCACAACCTATGTCTCCTACGAGCCAATCGGGACTGACATTCTAATCATGTGATGTGATCTAGACTCAGAAATCGAACTTTGGCTGGACTTGGTTCATTAACATTTTTTGCGTAATGTGCTTTTCAGTTCAAATAAATCTGTTAATTATTCAACTTTTTTGACACTAAACTGCAAAAAAATGGCTCATTGTGAAATCTATGACCTTGTGACATCATCTGATTTTTGCAAAGTGGTTGTTATTGAAGGATGGGTCATCCAGGGGCAGATTTATGCATGGGGGCGGGGGGTTAGGATGAGGGATTATTACAATGAGGAGAAATAATATATTTTTTAAATTTCACTCTAATGGTAGATCACTGTAAGAAAATCTAAATTTAAATTTAAAATATCGGGCAGAAATCTTGTATCTCTATATTTCGTCATATTTTCGTTTTTCCATAATCATTACTATAGGTCACCGTTTACGTCTGTCTGTGTGTTTTGCAAATATTTAACCAATTAAAAACATATTAACACAAGCTCGAAACTGAAGCTTGTAACTCCATTGGATCCTCAAACTGTCAGTCAAACCTCATAACTCAACCTGCCATAAAACATATAGGCAAATATAGATGTCTTGGCCTGGCATTTGTTGTCGAGACATATAGCCAATTCTGTCTTCATCGTATATAACCTGAGATTTTGGCTAAATGACAGAAAAAACTGAGTGCCCACATAGGGCTCTTCTCTTCTCTTCTCTTCTCTTCTCTTCTCTTCTCTTCTCTTCTCTTCTCTTCTCTTCTCTTCTCTTCTCTTCTCTTCTCTTCTCTTCTCTTCTCTTCTCTTCTCTTCTCTTCTCTTCTCTTCTCTTCTCTTCTCTTCTCTTCTCTTCTCTTCTCTTCTCTTCTCTTCTCTTCTCTTCTCTTATGACGTGTTTACTGGCGCAAGGGCGGGAAAATCTGTCACTCGCATCAGATCACAGCAATATATATATTTAATATATATATATATTTAAATATTTGAAATTCTACGTTTTTAGAAATTGTTGAAATTGATAGTATTACAGTTTTTCTCAATTGCTAAAAACACTTAATCCCATTTTCTGAACCAAATTCTCTATAGCCTAAACCAATTTGTCAAATAAATCACTCTTTCTGTAAAACATTAAACAAATTTAGGTAGTTAAAACACTGTTTGCAAATCTCATGCACTCTTTTTGCAAAACTCTAAACATATTCTCACTCACTAAAACACATTTCGCACTGTGATGCACTTATGTTTCAAAACGCTCAACACAGGCAGGCAAAAGTTAAACACAACTACAACACAGTTGTCATCGTTTACACACACCGACTCAAAATTGTTCACACTTATTTCTAATGATGTGACCAAACCAACTGTACATAATACAGTACAAGTCGGTTCAGAGTGCCAAAATTGACTTTAAAATGTTGCACTGAATGTTGATACCAACAATGGATGGAAACAAGAGGGAGAGGAGGAAGAGTATGTGTATACATTAAGAGTCGGTGAACGTCTCGGTTACATATGGTAACCCTCGTTCCCTGAGGGAGGGAACGGAGACGTAGGTCAGACTGACCAATAGGAATCTCGCTAGAGAGGCCAATCTACTTCGAGTGAAACTAAAACAAGCCAATGCACATTGGCATGCAATCATTTGCATCAGCTGCGCGTCCTCGTCAGCGCGGGTATTTAACAGCAGCTGTTATGATTGCACGCTAGTTTTTTGCTGAGGAGCCAAACCTGAAAAAGCTGGCCGCCCCAGCGGGCGGCAGCAGATGTGGCGACGGGACCTACGTCTCCGTTCCCTCCCTCAGGGAACGAGGGTTACCATATGTAACCGAGACGTTCCCTATCGGTCAGTCACTACAACGTAGGTCAGACTGACCAATAGGAATCCCTACCAAAGCGCCACAGCTGCTGCACCCCATCCAGCGCCCCATGCAAGCCTCTACACCTTCTTGCCTAGAAGGACGATAGGAGGAGGCTACACACAGAGTGTATCTGTCACTGTTGTTCCGTAATAACCCATACAGTGAGATTATTGGATAACACTGGGAAAGCGTGCCCTTCAGTTAGGAAGGAGGACGCTGCGGAAGCCACTTACTTCAAGGAGTTATGTGGGGAATACATATGGACTAGCCCGAAGGCTGTACTACATATGAGATAGTGGGTGACTTAGCCCAAGGGAAAGACACGGGCTTCCGTTAGGAGCAGCCGTGGAAATTATACACATATGGGATCCCCGTAGGGTCACACATATGGAACCCAGCCCAGATCCGGTTCTCAAGGATTCAGCGGATAAAGGCCTGGCACCTGGACGCTCCGCCATGTCCGGGCCGAGGGGTTTTTGGAGGACTCAACAGGTTTTTCACTCTGGAGCAATAAGGGTGCACAGTAGGGTGCAGCAAGCCGACAGAGCCGGGCCTCTCGGTGCTTCTACCCGTTTAGGGTGAGAACACGGGAGGAGACCGGCTCTACACGTAGGCTATAATATCTAGCGAACGTGTTAGGTGTCGCCCAGCCCGCAGCTCTACAGATATCTGTTAGCGAGGAGCCACGTGCCAGCGCCCAGGAGGATGCAACGCCTCTCGTGGAGTGTGCATGCAACCTGAGCGGGCAGGGCACGCCTTGAGCTTGGTAAGCCAAGGCGATGGCATCCACTATCCAGTGGGCCATCCTCTGCTTGGAGACAGCCTTTCCCCTCTGCTGGCCTCCATAACAGACAAAGAGCTGGTCTGAGGTCCTGATGCTTTGAGTTCTGTCCACGTACATACGCAGAGCGCGAACGGGACAGAGCAAAGCCAGGGCTGGGTCTGCCTCCTCCAAAGGCAGCGCTTGCAGGTTCACTACCTGGTTTTTGAAGGGAGTGGTAGGAACCTTGGGCACATAGCCAGGCCGGGGTCTTAATACCACATGGTTGTCACCCGGCCCGAACTCTAGGCACGATTCGTCGACCGAAAATGCGTGCAGGTCTCCTACCCTCTTGACAGAGGCCAGTGCAACCAGTAGCAAAGTCTTCATGGAAAGAAGCTTTAAGTCTACTGACTGCAGAGGCTCAAAGGGAACATCCTGAAGTGCTCGAAGCACCAGGGGAAGATCCCAAGAGAGTATGGAGGGGGGTCGAGGAGGATTTAATCGTCTCGCCCCCCTAAGAAACCTGACGACCAGGTCGTGCTTCCCCACTGTTTTGCCATCTACGTGGTCGTGATAAGCTGAAATAGCTGCAGCATGTACTTTGAGGGTGGAGGGAGACAGCCTTCGCTCCAACCCTTGCTGCAAGAAGGAAAGCACAGACCCTATCGAACATCTCCGGGGGTCTTCTCGGCGAGAAGAACACCACTCGACGAACAGGTTCCACTTCAGGGCGTAAACACGTCTCGTGGACGGCGCCCGTGCTGAAGTGATGGTGTTAAGTACCTCAGGGGGTAAGTCACCTAGAACCTCCGCGTCCCGTCCAGGGACCAGACATGGAGTTTCCAGAGGTCTGGACGCGGGTGCCATAGGGTGCCCCGTCTCTGAGTCAGAAGATCCTTCCTCAGAGGAATGGGCCAGGGAGGGACTGTCCCAAGGAGCATGAGTTCTGGGAACCAAGTCCAGGTGGGCCAATAGGGAGCCACCAGAAGGACCTGCTCCTCGTCCTCCCTGACTTTGCACAGTGTCTGTGCAAGTAGGCTCACTGGGGGAAACGCATATTTGCGGAGGCCCCGGGGCCAGCTGTGTGCCAGTGCGTCCGTGCCGAGTGTTCCCTCGGTCAGGGAGTAAAACAGCTGGCAGTGGGAGGTCTCTGAAGAGGCAAACAGGTCTACCTGAGCCTCTCCGAACTCTCTCCAGATCAGCTGAACCACCTGGGGGTGGAGTCGCCATTCTCCCGGAAGCACAGCTCGTGATAGCTCGTCGGCCACACGGTTGAGCACGCCAGGGACATACATGGCTCGAAGCGACCTCAGACGCTTCTGACTCCAGAGGAGGAGATGGCGGGCGAGTTGCGACATGCGACGGGAGCGTAGACCACCTTGTCGGTTGATGTACGCCACGGTCGCAGTGTTGTCCGTACGGACCAGCACGTCCCTGCCCCGTAGCGGCCTTTTCAGGCGGCTCAGAGCGAGATGTACTGCTAGCAACTCGAGGCAATTGATGTGCCAATGCAGTTGGGGAGCCGTCCACACCCCTGACACTGCATGCCCGTTGTACGTGGCACCCCAGCCGGTGGCAGAGGCATCTGTGAAAACCACAGCATGCCTGGAGACCTGTTCCAAGGGGACTC